AATAAAAAAGTAAAGATATGTGGTGTAACTGGAGCCTGACATATTTGATGTATGGCATATTTGGAACCCAGAGAACAGCCCAATATGGTGAAGTGTTAGGAGAGTAGTGGAGACCAGTAAGAAAAGGTAGAAATACAAGTTGGAGACATTATAAATGATGTTAAATTCTATATTAGGACATTTGAACTTTATCCATTGAGAGTTTTGAGTAATGGAGAGGCATGAATTTTTGGAAAGATTAGTCTGGCAGCACAGTAGAGAATATAGCAGAAAAAGTGGAATCATTTCCTTAGGGATCTTTTACCCAGGATGACTGTCAGAGGCTCAAACCAAACTCTCTGTGAGTGGTCTATAAACTTTTGTTAAGATTGAAACCAAATAGGCTCAAGCATACTCCTTAGTTACTTAATAAGTAACTCCAGGCACATAGCTTTATTATCAATCCTTTCATGTAGAGCATTCCTTTATATAATACGTTTGGGGTTGTATTTGAAAAATGTTCTGGAAAGCACGGTATCAACAGTAATCCTAAGACTATTAAGGAACTCTAAGTGTAGTACAAAATTCAAACAATGGCTGGCTCCTATGAGTTCAGAAGCCACCTTTCACCTGCCCACTTTTTCATCCTACCCATCTCATCCATTCTTACCATAGATTTAGCTTTGTCTCTTGGTACTCTTGCCTTCTGGTGTGTGTAGAATCATAGATTTCTGCTATGTGACTTGTTTCTTCCATTTGTTTATAAGCTCCTTAAAGGTAGGAATAGTGTTTTATCCCTCGTTTGTAACTCTCCAGAGCCTAGTTCTATGCTCTGCTCTTTATACAAAGGCTGTGGACAGAACCATAAGTAAAACCTACAGTAGTCCCCCCTTATCCATGGTTTTGCTTTTCACTGTTTCAGTTTACCCACAGTCAATTGTAGTCCAAAAATATTAAATGGAAAATTCCAGAAATAAACAATTCATAAGTTTGTTTGTTTGTTTTGAAAAAGATTAGCCCTGAGCTAACTGCTGCCAATCCTCCTCTTTTCCCTGAGGAAGACTGGCCCTGAGCTAACATCCATGCTCATCTTCTTCTACTTTCTATGTGGGATGCCTACCACAGCATGGCGTGCCAAGTGGTGCCATGTCTGCACCCGGGATCCAAACCGACGATCACCGGGACGCCAAAGCAGAACGTGCACACTTAACCGCTGTGCCACCGGGCGGCCCCAATTCATAAGTTTTGAATTGCATGCATTTCTGAGTAGCATGATGAAAGCTTGCACCATCCTGCTCTGTCCCACCCAGGACTTGAATCATCTCTTTGTCCAAAGTATCCACGCTGTATATGCTACCTGCTCATTAGTCACTTAGTAGAGCCCTCTTGGTTATCAGATCCACTGTTGTGGTATCGCAGTGCTTCTGTTCAAGTAATCATCGACATCGTCTGCTCCTGACATCCAATCATTGAAATCTTAATGGCTCAATAATCCTCCTTCTGATGAATCATCAGGCTAATAGTAGCCTAACACTATGTCACAATGCCTACATCATTCATTCATTTCAGTTCATCCCATAGGCATTGTATCATCTCACATCATCATCATCATAAGAAGGGTGAGTACAGCACAGTAAGATATTTTGAGAGAGAGAGAAAGACCACATTTACGTAACTTATTACAGTATATTGTTATAGTTATTTTATTTTATTATTAATTATTGTTGTTAATCTCTTATTTTGCCTAATTTATAAATTAAACTTTATGATAGATATGTAAGTATAAGAAAAACATAGTGTGTATATATAGGGTTTGGTACTATCTGTGGTTTCGGGCATCCACTGGGGGTCTTGGAACGTATCCCCAGTGGATAAGGGGGACTCCTGTATCAGAAGATGCGCTGGTCAGTTTATTAAGAATGATTAAAGATCCAAAAAGGATTCTCACTGACGTGTCAGTATTGGAACAAAAGCAAATGCTTACTGAGCTCCTTCATGTGCCCAGCACCTGTGGACACAGAGACCTAAGGTGACAACCTGTATAATCTATGGAGTTATCAGACCAGGAGAAGAAGTTGAATAGTTGCAAATAGAGGGAGGAAAAAGGGGAAAGGAAGGTGCCAGGCATGGATTCAATGCCAGGGATAGTATATATATAAATCTTCACAGCAATGCAACAATTCTGTGAAGCAGATATTTTTGTACTTCTTTCAAATTAAGAAACTGGGGTTCAAAGAGGCTAAGTAGTGTTTTTTAAAATGTTTCTCACTGTGACTGGTGACCTGAGATTCTAAGCCATGTCCATCTAATCTCGGCTGCCATGCACTGAGTCTCTAGCAGGAGGCGATGTGTGACTGCCCTCCTCCATACCAAGGTATGCATTCTGGCTCATGCAACCAGAATCAGGTTCAGATGAGAAATATTTCTTCTATGTTACATTTTCTTTGTCACTCATCTTCCTGTGAGTAACATTGGAAACCAAACATACCCAATGAAATACCTTTTTTTGCTCACAAGTCATAAATATTATGACTTTAGATAGGAGAAACTTAATGGAATATTTAGGGTTTTGATTGTTTGATGGGTCACACTTCTCACCATACGTGCATTTTAAATAATCTGACAAATTTGAGATGATTGTTCAGATGAAAGATTATGTAGAACAAGAACTTTGATTGAGTTTGTTGAAGTTTAAAGACTGTAACACCAGAAATGACACCATTCTCAATTTAGCAGTAAGGGAATTATCTTTCTTTTTAATTCAAATTATTGAGTTTAAATATTAATATTGTCACAGATAGGTGACATGCAGAAAGATGATAAATTTCTACTGAGCGTGACATTGATCTTACTAATACTGTGGTCTGAGCTTTTCTTATGGGTGGTGACATTATGCTTTATTACCCACATTCATCTCTCATTCTCAACCATCTATATCCCTCAGACATCTTGAATATATACTCCAGATCATTCAGACACTGCTGAAGGATCTGTCTCAAATTTGGCAGAACAAAATTCTCTTACTTTAATCTATAAAAAAGCCATTCTTGTGTTTTGGCATGTTTTTCATTTAGAGCTTATTGGATCTTAAATATCGTACAAATCTAGTAGTTTTATAAATTGGAATCTCACATCAACTTAGAGAAACTTAGAAACAGCAGCAAATGCCAAGTGGAACTGGTAGCCTCAGTGACCACCTGTGCATAAGACAAGAAACACTCAGAACGACATACAGCCTGACATGATCATTGGTCTTTATGGTGGTGGCCTCCAGTCATCAAGATGCATTGAATTATGTTCTTTCCCTGCTATTTAAGAAACCATTTTTAGCAAGGTTTGCAATAAAAACTGTTCAAAAATAATTTTTAAAGTGATTTTCTGAAAGTCCTGATTAGAACTTAAAAAACAAACTTCTACATTCATATAAGAGATGTGAACACTTCTCCCTTCCTGTGGGGTCTGCACCCCTAGGCACTGGGGCACTCTAACAGGTGGTTTACAAAAGGAGTCTTAGCCATCCACGTACCTGCTGAGACTGCGGCTGTCAATGGCAGGGAAGTCTATAGCAGTATGATTAGTTCCTATGTTGCAAACTTTCCCTCAGATTTTTTCTCTAGTTTATTTGCCAATTTCTTTACCTTCCTTTTCAAATAAGCTAATTAAAAACTCTCATTGGAGAGTAAAATTTGTCCTATGTGGTTAAAATGAAATCTACTTTAACTTCAATCACATTATTACCATTTGAAACACTCATTATGTGAAAAATATGTGCTTGGATTTTTTATCACCTTTGGGCTCCAGAGAAAACATTTAGCAGGTTTAGAAACTAAAGGAACAATGAATTCATAGAGTTTTAGTATTTTACAATAGTTGCACAATATCAAGTCAGATATTGTACTATTAGATACCACACAATGGTCTTAATATCTGTATAATATTGGATATTGAACATCTACTATTGTACAAGGATCTTATTAATGCCTGTAGTGTATCTGATGTTGCACAATATCTGGTTTCAATTAAGATAAAAGGAGAATGTCTATTTAATTTGCTGTTATGACTATTAATTCAGTCCTGGATGTGAACATATGATCTATGACTGTTGTTTCTGGATATAGAACTCTGCAAAGATGTGTCAAGCTACTCACGATGATGGAACTATTTAGGAATAGACTTATGACAAGAGCCCTACAGGTTTGAAGGTTGGTTTATGGTTCCAAGGGATGAGTGGGATTTGAGCCTTAATTAAGGTGAAGCTACTCAATGGCATGCTCTGAAAATACGGTTGAAGCTGAATTTCACAATCCTCTGTCCATTCCTATGCATGACTCACTGGTCTCATGTTGAATTGATGGATGTTTTTCTATGTCTTCCATTTTTAGATTTTTATGCTTTAGCTCACTCTGTCTAGGGTAACTTTTTCCTGCAAATGGTCTGAAGCTAAGTTAAACTTCATTAAATCAATTTTTTTAAAATGAGGCCATTTTGCAAATAATTGAACAAAAAAATCGCATTTTCTCAGTCATCTAGCTGAGTTTGCTAGGCTCAGTTGAGCATCTGAAATCTTTGCTTTCATTAATGTGGTCTTTTCATTAATATACTTATGTCAATGAAAAATAATTAGTCAAACAAGTGATTGACTTTGCCTTTTTTTTTGCTTCTACTGAGCCTTCAGAGCTACCAAGATGATACTGTTGATATTATTTTTTCTTGTGAACCTCAGAATAGTTCCCTGTGATAAAACTATAAATTATGTATTATAAATAATAAAATTATTTTAAGTTGATTTTTCAAAAGCTATATATGTATGATAACAGAAATTGTATATGTATTAGATAAAAGCTCTATGAACTCCTTAATCTAACACATTTCTATGTATCTAGTTTTTTACAAAAACTGAATTCTCTCCATGTTTACAAGGCAGTCTGTGATAACAAGCAAAATAAACAAGAGCCTTTCTGGATAAACGTGTCCATATGCCAATGTGGTTTAGGTTTGATTCAAGACACAAAACTCATTACTTCTGGAAAAATGAAGGCACATTTATTAAATGACCAGGAGAAATTCCACAGTATGTAGAAAAGGAATAATAATACATAACTTTCTAGTTTACTTTCAATTTTTAAAAACAAGCGCAAGGAAGTTAAAATATTCTTTTAATTAAGATGCTCAAAGAAATGAAATAAGAAAAGTTGATGCAAGGGCTCCTTCAAGTTAGGATTTGCAATACAAATATTTTCATCTTTTAACAGGGTGAGCGGATGTGTTCACATCTCAGTTCCAAGCTGCCTCTTTCACTAGGCAACATCAGCATTTTTTAAAGCACATTTACAATGCGTTCCCATCACTCTTGCTGTGTTTTTGTAGCACCTATAGCCATAACTGGCACCTGGGGGCCTTGCATTGTTGGCAGTTTCCCTCTCATTTCTTTGGAGTCTATTCAACTGCTGTGGTTTTACTCAGAAGTCAGTGCTTTGCATATATGATTTCCTGAGACAGTTTGAATAGTCTTTCTCAGAAAACTGTGCCAGTCTGGCTGTGAACAGCTCTGCTCTGAGAGGAGCTGACAGTAGCCGGGTCGGGTCAGCGTGCTTGGATTCAGGTTCCTAGCCATGCCCTGCTAGCTTCTCTCTCTACCCTCCCTTTTCTTACTCCTGCTTCAGTGACATCGCTGCCCACGTTGTGCCATCCCTTTAAGGAAGAGAATAAGATTTGGTCTAGTCCAGTTAGAAAAAGTAAAATGCTGCCCAGGGAACCTATGCAAGGGTCCCATAGAAACAATTCATATTCATTGTTTCAGCAACTGATGTGGAAATTATTTTAAATAATAAACAAAATGAGACAATAATTCAAACTTCTGTAAGGTAATAATAATCTGTTGCAAAGGTAGAAGTCCCTACTTGGGGTTATAGATATGAAATTTGGAAACAAAGGCAACCTTAAATTTTTTCATTTGACTGTATTTCTTTTAAGATCATCATCTTGACAATGCAGTTTTGAGATAATGAGAATAAAAATGTCTTTTAATAAGCTTTAAATGGCATGCTGTTTCGAGGTGCTAATGTAAAGAGAAGCATTGTTGTATGAAGTGGCTCATGTGGGTATATATATGTTGGTGTGCTGTACTGCTGTCAATTCCATGGTCTTCATCTGTGTACCACTGGAGAGAGAGAGAAAAAGAGGTCGGAATTAGGAAGTCAGTTGTCTTTTCTCTTTTAAATTAATTCAGAGGAGCTCTTGAGCATATGTGGTATAAAACAGGATGTTTTAATTCCTGAGTCAGTTTATAAACTGAAATGTGATCAAAGAGGGTGTGTAATTTCCCCCGGAACGGTTCCAGTGCATGTTGTTCTGTCCTGCGGAAAGTCTCTGATTGTCCTTCGCAGGTGCTAAGAGAACTCACTGTGAATTTGGTTTTACTGCCTGGTGCTTTTAAGGATATGTATATTCTAATTAAAATATCCAAATCCATTTGGTTTTACTGCCCAGTGCTTTAAGGATGTGTATATTCTAATTAAAATATACAAATCCATTTGGTTTTACTGCCCAGTGCTTTAAGGATATGTATATTCTAATTAAAATATCCAAATCCATTTTCAAATTTGACTCAAAGGACACTTAGAGTCATGTCATGGATAGGAAGGGAATATTTACCCCATTAGGCCCACTAGTTTTAATTAAGTGTTATCAAGTGTCAAATTGCCCCTACACTACAGTAAGATAAATTGTATTAAAATAAATGTTTTTTTAAAAGCAATGTTTCCTAATATATATCACTAAGAAACTGGAAAAATCTATTTCAATATCCCATATATATGTTTAACATAAGTGAAGTCAAAAGTCAAATGCATTATTTGCCAACACTTACATTTTTCACTGGAATTTTTTTATCTGTATGTCTGACATTTATGTAGAAAGAGTTGATGACCTGAGGCAAAAATTTATCAACTCATACAGCATTAAACAAGTGGGAAGGCAGTGCCAGGCAAACGTATATTATGGAGACATAATTTAATTAGACAATTTTTAAAAGTTAATTTATCATGTCTTTTGCTTGAATAGTGGGGGAAAAAACCCCTCAGCCTCTTATAAGAATCTAACCCAAAGGATATAAACCAGGTCTTTTTTGTATGGAAAGACTGTCCCACTCCTACACAGCGGGCACCGTTTGAACTGAGCACAGAGCAAAGTGTATATGTTAGAAGAAAACGAGGAAAAGTAGGCTTTTCTAGCTAATACAGACAATTATTTTACACAAAAATATTTAGTGCAACACACATAAATATACATATAAATATGCATATATACATCTGTATATATACATATATGTGTACATGTGTATATATGTATAAAATACATGTGTATATATATAAAAATATTTTTTCTTAATCTGTAAAGGTCTAGTGCAGAAAATGAATTTGACTTAATACCTACAAACATCCTTCTGTATAGGCAACAACAGCTCTAACATTTCTGACTTTATAAAACAAGCCTAATTGTTTATTGCCTGTGGTTGTTCAACGAAAGATAACATGGCAATTGCAAAAGCCGAAGCATACTGATTATTAATATCCCACTGTTGTTAAAAACGGCTAGTAATACATACTAGACAGAAATTGATTTTCATTTGAGCTGAGCTATTATCATGCTGTTTTCACTTTAGAATTACTCTGCCACACATTTACTGAGTGATTACTTTTGAATCAAAATAGGGAAAGATTGAACACTCACATAAATAGGAGAACAGTGTTCTGACACTCCCAGGATACACAATATTGTGCTTCTCAATCCCAACTCTCTAATATTATTGAATGTTACTCTGTATATGGTTCAAGGATATCACTTCTCCAACTTCTCATTAGATAAATTAAAACTCTTTTAATTCTTTCCTGTCTCCTGGGACCTCTGTGAGGAGAAGTAGCCCAGAGAGGGGAAACCAGACCCCACCAGCAAGTTCCCTCTCCTTGCACAAAGTTTTGCTATACCATTGCCTGGAAATCCACTCCAGCATCCACCAGGGCTTTGGAGAGCTGCGCTGACTGCTGAAAGTGGACGTTGTCTGCAGGGAGAGAAAGGAAACATCAAGTAACTAATAGCCGCTCCAGTTTTCTCATTTTCTCACATGGAAGGGTGGGAAAGGCACAAGAAGAAAGGGACTGTTTGAAGTTCTAGGACTCAGCATCCCATTTAGCCCAAGACAAGTGAGTTGTGGAAAGCAACACTGTTTTATTGAAGTAAATGTAACAGTCTTGCCCCTCATGCTTTTGTTTTGTCAGTAGTGAAATTGCAAACCTGTCTGTGATACTAAAAAGTCTAATTAACTGAAACTCACCATCTGCTGTTCCATGAATAAGGAGGTACTCAACTTGTTTAAAATTTTCAGCTCTGCTCATGACTGTTGAATTCTGGAATTGGGAAAAAGAATGTCATTATTCAAAAAAAGATCTGCCATAAACTGATTTTTCACTTCAGTTTACAAAATAAAATGTTTTCAGCTGGGGCCCCCTTTGATACAAAATATAGCAAACCGATATTCAAGCAAATGCTGTCTCCATGCATGGCAGAATGCACAGCATGCCCTGAGCCTGGGAGGCAGGACTGGAGAGAGAGGATGCCACATCTTCCCTGCACATGCAGGAAGAGGGCACCTGCCACCCAGGCTGCATGCAAAACCCCTTGAGCCCCAGATCCCAGATTGGCTTTGTCCTATGCATTAGCACAGGGCAGAGTCTCATATTAGCAATGTATGTTCCATGGGCTTATGCTGTAGTTCAGCCAAAAAGTGTATTGCCATGGCAACCATGTGTCACATGGTGCCATACATGCTACATTTCAAAGAGCCTGTACATAGCATTTGCAACTAAACATACTCTGCAATATGTCATATGAACTTTGGTCCACATTGCTAGGCTCCGAATGAGAAGCAAGCAGTACCTCTTTTGGAACAGATGTTTAAAACCTAGTCAAATGTAACATATGGGAGGGGAACGGGTGAAAAAGATCAAGGATGGCCTTAGAAAATCAGTGGGTTGTTGTTGTCGGCCTCATTCTATATTGGGGAAAATGTTACTGGAGTGAGTCATTCCAAGTCAGCCAGGGAAACAGGACCAAAAGGGTGGGGGGTGGGGGCGGGTTCAGCTTTTTGGAGATTGCTTCCTGGCCTCAGTCAGGTAGGACTTCTAGAATGAGGGTAAGATCTGGGATGAAAAAGCTTTTGAAAGCATGGAACTGGTCATCTGATCTTAATTTGGGGATGTTTGCAAAGTTGGGGTGAAGGTAAAAATGTCACAGAGACATTGTAGTGCCTTTGGGAGGGGGTGAGCTGGAGTCCGCTTCTATTGCCTAGTTATGTGTTGGAAAGAGGAAGGGCCAGTAGCCTCTCTATGGATTTAAAATCAGCCAGCTAGAGCTGCAGCATCTTGGTGAATCAAAGTCAACTTTAAGAGCCAAGGTTCGTATTTTGCAGATATCTTTGTAGCTAACATGAGCTTAATATTTTTGATGAGAACCCTGATGGTCTGGCAGGAAAGGGATGGGGCTAAACTCAGAGTGCTTGTATTCTAGTCCCCACTTTAATATTAGTGAGCTGTTCACCTGGAGACATGCTGATGTGAGAATGCTGTAACACAGTGTTTCTGGGAAAAAAAAATTCTGTCTACAACTTTCAGGACAGAGTCACCCAATGTGTTTCACTTGACTGAGGCTCCCAAGGTCAACTTGTCCTGGAAAGCCTTGAGCAAATGCCCTCCCATTCCTGTGTAGGCTGGATCCCATTTGTCCTGACCATATTGCATTTCTGACCCAAATTGAGAATTCACCCATGAACTTTCAGAATAAACACCTAGGACTCACTAAAAGTCACACTTTTATTTTACTTTATTTTTAGGAAATATTTTATCTAGTGTGATGTCCCAGATAAACCCATCCATGTATGAATCCACCCATCCACCCATCCATCCCTCCATCCCAATTTTACCCCATTCATTCTTCCATCTATTCACTCATTTTTTTCATCTAGTCAATCAATTTTTATTTGTCATATACCCTAATATACAATAGAAAGGGATTTGTCTATATTGATCATCATTCTTAGCGTCTAATAATCTAAATATCAATTAAATGAATAAATGAAAGAAATTTAAGCACTTATACTGTTCACTGTATTCAGTCCTAGTTTTGCAGAGGCAAGTAGTAACAGCTAGCAGAATAAAATACTCTCTTTCCAAAATTTGCTGAGACATGTTTTTCCCACTTTCAACCTATACACCAGGCCATTCACAATAATAACTAACATTTATTGAGTGTTTACCTTATGCTAGTCACTGCCAAGCATCATAGAGGATTTATAAACAGCACTGTCCTATTTAATCTTCATAACATTCCTGTGAGATAGGTCTATAGCAATCCTACTTTCTACATAGAGACACCGAGATTCAGAAGTGAGTAACCTGAACCAGGTTCCATCTGTAGGAAGCATCAGAGCTGGACATGAAGTCTGACGGGAGAACCCCTTTTACCTCCTATGCTGCTCACAATGTGGTCTTGCCGCAAAGGAACAGTGAGAAATCACTTGTTAATTAACTGTCCTGGAATTTGTAGTACAGAAATACTCTGGGAATCCTTTGGTTCCTGTGTCCCCATGGCTTCTCAGACAATTAATCAGAAGGGAGCGGTCTGCATAGCCCTACAAGATTTGGGAGGCGTGTTTTCTGAATGTGCAGCTGATGGCAGAGCGTAAGACAGCAATAGAACCCTGAGTAATTTTCCGCCCTTAAGAGAGGAAAGGGTCAACATCAATCTCCCTAAAGGACAGTGCAGGTTCTAAGCTGGAGACAGCAGAGGGTGGGGCTTGAACACTGACAGTGAGCATTAGTAATCGGAGCCCCAGGCCCTGGAGCCCCCGTTAGAGTCCCCCTTGGTGATCCTTTCTGCTGGTCTTGCTCTCAGCCTGTGCTGACTGCACCGCTGTTTCCTCCACCTTGTTTCTCCCCACATTAAATCTAGCTCTTTGCTTGCCAAAGATCATCAACTTTAACACCCAGATCTGACCCAAATATACAGCTGCGTCACCTCACCTCCGAAAGCCTCATGAGCCTCCCTGGTTTGGCAGCTTGAACAGCAAAAGCTGCTCCTACAACCTCCCTAAGCCATAAAACTGAGAAATGTCATTGAAACATAGAGTAATAGTTAGGAGACATATAAATACGCAGGACAGTTAGCAAGGAATGTGATAACTACTGGAGTTTGGACCAAAACAGTTTCTGGCTGCCTTTTTTTTTTCTTAAATGGAGTGAATACAGGCTGAAAGAAGACAATTTTTATAAACAAGTAAAACCCTGAGCCTAAGATAAATGTTGTGATGTACACACTGTAGCTGTGATGAACTAGACATGGTGAGAAATGCAACATACTGAGAAAAAGACGAAAACTGTGATAAAAGTGTCATGATGCAAATTGTTTTACATTAACAATATTACACTACAAAGAAAGAAAGACAAATACTTTAATGCAGCAAGAGAAAAATAAAACAAAAGCTTCCCCTGCAACTGCAAGATAAGTGTGCCATTTCCAATGCACACTTCCCCCTGCTCGCTGGCAGAAGCCTCAAGGAGACCTCTCTGTGCAAGGGAGACAGGCAGCCTGGAGGCACACCCCCACTGTCAGGCTCTCAGGCTGCAGAGAACATCTTGTTCCCAGAGAGATGCAGCTGTGGCACCTTGCCTCTGGAACCACCCCTCATTCCCCACTAGACTGAGCATCCTGGCTTCTCAATCAAGAAAGACCCTTGACAGTCCACTGTATGGGGCACTTTAGCCTGCGAAAGGCAACAGCCAAAGCCAGTGAAAGAAATGCATGCATTAATTTATGGTATGATTAATGATCTGAAATAATTTAATTGTGCTATTTTAACCCACCAAAATAGGATAATCCCCATTCGATGGAAACCGAAATAAAAAAGGAAATGGATGACTAAGTTAGAAGCCGAATAGTCTATCACCAACTACTAAAAAGGAAGCTCAGAGTGATAAATGGGCAAGGATGCAATGGTGGTGCAGTTGGCACTCTCCCGAGGCTAGAAACTTCCGGAGAGCCCCGCTGCCAGCAACAGTCTGGCAAAGCAAAGTGGGAAGGATTGGTCCAGTGGCAGTGCCGATTCCACAGCATCTCTGCGAGGAGCTTTTCCTTCAAACCCTAAGAAGAACCATCTGTAGCTGCTTGTTGGATCATGCTGGTTCCTCAGTTACCTTCCAACAAATAAATCTTTGTATTTTTGAAATAAAAGAGAGCTGATAAGAGTGGGGAAGTACTGTGAGAAACAGAAGGTCTAACAATTTTTAAGCTACCCTTTGTGCCATCTAGGAACCATAAGGACAGTTTGCTTTCTCAGGATAATGGTGGCAGCTGCCATGTTTTGAAAGCTTGCTTCATGGCAGGCACAGGTGTCTCATTTAATCCTTTCAATAACTGTGTGAGGTAGGTTTTACTGTCCCCATTATCTAGATGAGGAAACTGGGGTTGAGAGAGGTTAAGTAACCTCCCCAAGCTCCTACTGTGAGTAGTGGTGAAAGAGAATTTGAATACAGGTCTCTCTAACTCCAAGGCCCATTCCCCTGAACATCATAGTCCAGCGTTCCTTCACCTCACAGCCAAACAACTCATCACCATTTCCAGGCTCTTGTGGAAAGAGCAAACAGTCACTAGTGTAATGGACAGCCCAGTACTTCAGTGAGATATTATGAGTGCACTGACTTGCTCTATGCATTCTCCCACTTGCAACCAAAGCCTCCTAAATAACATTAAATGATGCTATTTTGGGAAGCACCATTAATGCCACAGAAAACAGAGGCCACAGAAACTTTTTAAGAAAAAATTAATTCAACCCACTATATCAGATGTTTTACTTGTTTACGTCTACCAAACAACTGTACCCGTGAGATGCCAAGGAAAGAGCTCCTATCAACCCGACAGGGGGCTCTACCTCAGGCCTCACCAAGCAACACTGGCTTCTTTAAAGATCACACAGCAGTCAACATTTTATCAGCACTCAACAAACAAGTTAAGGTTTGGCTTAAATCTGAAGGTCTCTCTCCCTTTGGCATATTCTGGGATAATAGAACAAATGTCAAATCAGTACAAGATGGCATATTTACAAAATTGCACCCTGTTTTGCATAACCTAACGATGCAGCAGTTCTTAAGGATTGAACATTTCAAATCTGCTAGCAGAAGACTGCCAAATCTATGACTGTTTCATACACTTGCCAAAAGCCTATCAAATTTTGAGCAAAATGCAAAATAAATCTCCTCTACAAGTTAAATCAGTCCCTTCTGTGTGTTCCAGGCTGCCCTCTTCTCTTGGCAACAAGGCTCAGGACTTGGGCCCCATTTCTCCTGCCCTTGATCTTATCCTTCTCTCTGCATGTTCATAAGCCCACTCCCTCCGCAGTCGTGTCCTGCCTCGTTGGCCACCATTTGGCCTGCCCTTCCCCCAGCCCTCCCTTGTGCTATCCCTTGGTTCATCGGACCTGCTTCACAAATCCCTAGGAAACCAGCTCTACCTGCTATTCCTGTGTCTTCTGTGCTGCTCTGCCTCGTCCCTCTGTGCAACCAGCAGAGAGCATCTACGCTCTTCCTCTCCGTCTTCCTAAATCTTTCTCCACTGGCTTCAGATAGGTGCCCTCTCCCTTTCCTAACTCTCAGTATCTATATGTTATATAACATGTTTGTGCCTCGGTTTCTGTGTCAGTCAAATGGAGATAATTAGAGCATTTATTTCAGAGAATCTGAGAGAGACTTGAACCTAATAGTCCATGTAAAGAGCTTAGAATAATCTCCTGCTGTAGAAGCAAGCACTTAATAAATTAATGGAAAAATAAATGAAATAAATGAAACTGGATCCCCCTGGTTGAGAGGAGTCGCGGGAAGGTGAACCTCTAACTTCTCGGCCACTTCCCTTCCCTCCCTACCTGCTCGGAAGGCGCAGAATTCCTGGGGCTCCATAGTCACAATTTGGAAACCACTGGTCTTTTTCCTACATATTGACCACTTCATCATACTTAAGTTCATGTTTTATTACCTGCTCTCTTTTATTTCTCGCCAAAAACTTTGTGTGCATGCTTTGTCTCACCAACAAGGTAACAATCTTCTGAACAATTAAGACACGACGCACCTTGAATGGGTGAATGAAAGTCTGCCACCTGTTAATACTTTTTGTAGGTTTGACTAAAAGATCTGTGACCGACCATGTGAGAGATCATTCATCAATGTTAGTCTGGAACCCACTCCTCAAGGTGTGCCCACAGTTGCTATTTTCTTACTGCTATTAGGGGTGAGGGTTATCTCTTTGGCTATCTGATTCCTTTGCTCAAATCTGTCACCATTTCTGTCGGCTGTGGACTGAGACTTATTGTAGAAAAGAGCTACACTGCCTATTAGCTCTGATTTGTCACTCCTCCACTTTGGCTGCCTACTTAGAGTTTCTGGGACCAGCTCCTTGGAGTTTTAGGGAGATGAACGTCTTCCTTCTTCTTTGAGTTCCTGGCATTCTGTAAAAGTGCTCCTGCCTTGCAACTTGGCAGTAAGTGGGTGATTATCTACAAAAAGATCCTTATGGAGTCACTGTTTAGGTCACTGCATTGGGTCCAAGCTGTAGTTCCAGGGTCCCCTATTTTAAATGGAAGCTTTGTAAGAATAGGAAAAGGCATTTGCTTTGGCTGGATAGAGCCCCAGAGGTGCATGCTTTAGTGAATGGAGCATAGACTAGCTTTCAGCAGTGCACAAGCTGAACAACTACACATGGCATCCCTGCCAGTTCCATTGGCATTTACAAATGGTTCCTCCAAGTCCCTTTCCTAAATGGTAAGTAGGACCTTCATTTCACAAAATGTGCTGCTCTTGGTGATGTGGGTTTCTTCAAATTCTTTCAAATCTGGGTCATCAATGACCTAATAATGAATCCTTTTTCTCATTTGGGTTTTATTAAAAATTGTATTCTCCTCCGAAGGCTGTAATTTGGCTACTGTATCAATGATGCTTTAGCTTGAAGAAAGGACAAAGATCAGAGCCTTGGTTATTACACACTTTGGGCATTCCCATCCTGGATGTGCTGCGGAGAGTCAGTCGGCCAGATTAAATGTGAATCATGTTCAAAATATTTCCTTCTGACCCATGGAAATGCATAGGGCAGTGAAAGCATCAAGGAACTGTCTTCTTTGTCTTTTCAAAGAGGGTGAGGAGGGAGGGAGGGAGAGAGAGAGAGAGAGAGAGAGAGAGAAAACAACTTGGGAAAGAAAAGTAAAAGAAAATGGGGTCCAGAGGGGCAGCTGGGGCCTTGGAGGAAAATAGAATCTTTGAATGTATTCTTGCCAGAGACAAAAGCACAGGCTCATTTAAAAAACAAAGGAGGGCAGCTTTATTCTAAAGCCTGCTGTGCACCAAATATAGGCACTTAGATTCAGTTCTCCACATTCCGAGGAAGCAACTTACCAGGGTGGAAACAATTCAGTTAATGCATTTGCCTCACTTTCTCCTGCCCACCTTAACTATCGCCCACCCAAATAATTCCTCTGAGCAACACATTGGGAACCTTTAGCTCCCTGGTACTGGCAGTTTTAATGTGTCCATTGCCAGCAATGAATTTTGTGCCAAGAAAACCCGACTCCTGGCGTGGAAGGATTAAACAGTCCTCGGGTACCATCTGTGCAGTGAAGTGAAAGAGTGACTTTGTGCACCCAGTGTGCGTGTGTTGCCATTGGCAGTAGGAAGTGACTTCTATTTACACGACCACCTTACGCAGCGAACACCTAAGGGGAAAGATGAAAATGGCCACCACAGTGGGGGGCTGAGTTAGGGAGTGGGGGATGTGTGTGGGAATGAGGAGCCTATGGGACAGTCTAGAAAAAGATGCAGGTTGAAATGGCAGATTAAAACTAATGGTCCCACACAGGGAGGGCTAGTTGTATAGCAAACACCCCGTTGGCTGATATTCATCGAGGGAAGTAGGCTAGGTGCCGTGGACTTCCTCAGGTGTCAGGGTTTGGACTTGACTCTGTGCCTGCAGGTTCAAAGACTTTTCAGAATGGGATTTTTTTTTAACTCATCAGAACTTTTGACTCATCATCCACCAAGTTCCTAGAGTCAGGGTTAGGGGCGTGGGCGGTACACCTCTGATGTTTCAGGAGTTTTCAGTTCTTTGGGATATCTGAGAAAGCCCTTCAGTAACCCAGCAGATACGGCATACCATTGGAGGGGTGGTTTACAAATTTAAGCATCCTGGTTGGGTCATAGACAAGAAAATTCCAGCTGTAAAATGGGAGAAATGATGAAGACATAAAATTTTTACAATAATGTTTCCCTTCAGAAAGTTTTTAAATTAAATGAGGAAAGGTTTTAAGGTTTATACTTCATACTGGGTAATCCAAAGAATACATTGTTAAGTAAAGCCTTGAAGCTCACAATACTGCAGAGGGGGAAAAGGGAGCACAAAATAAGTATGAGTCCGAGATAGATAAACTGAGGATTAAGACATATATAAGGAAAATGTCATGGGAGTCAAAAGGGGAGGCTAGTCACTGGAAGAGCAGTACAAGTTTCCTAACAGATGGAGACGGAGGGGAAATAATATTCTAGGCAGAAGGAGCAGAGGACAAAGGCACTAAAAGAGAAGGCCTAGGAATATTCAGAGAAGATTGAACACGCAGGTAAACTGGATCACTGTAACAAGGTTACAATGATGAAAGAATGAAGGCTGGACGTAGTTGAGTCCACAGGAAAAGTCCACAAGAGTGTGATGGGTAGGGGTTAATCTCACAGCTCTGTGTGGTGCAGACTGGGATGGAGAAAGAAAGCTAAGGGGAGACAAATTGGATTATTATAAAAGGAGATAAGTCATGTGACAGTGGCAATGTGGTTACAAAGAAGGGAAAAGATGTCTAAGATAGCTTACTGGACATGGAGGAGAAAGAGTGGGAGGAATTGAGTCCAAAGTCTTATGTGGGACAATTAGCAGAAATGGGGACAATCGGATTATGGAACTGCTTTGTCCCATAATATAAGATCATTTGTGCACCTCACTTTACAGGTTGTTACTTTTCTAGCTTGATCGAAAAACAGAGATGAAAACACACATGCAGCACAAACACAGAAACATACCTCTCTTGCCTCTCCCCTCATGAGCCTTGCTAAATAAAGCTGAGAGTAAGGGGTAAAACTAAGCTGTCTGCACTTATCCTACAAAACTATAAATTTTGCTTGTTTTATTGTGCTTTGATCAAATCATTTCAGAATCCATAGTAATGATGACATCTTACAAAAACGCACAAATATTGCTCAGAGCAATGTATTAATATGCAGCCCATGTATTGAGAGTTGTGGCACAGATAAGAAATTGTGTTCTTAAATTATTCTTGTTTTTGTTTTCTTTCTTTTTAATTCACTGTCCTGGGAAGAGTTTTGAATTTCCTTTGGAGAATGTAAAGGTCAGATGATTTGTCTTGTCATCTGTAAGTTTCTGGGTTTTCAACTAACATGACAGATAGAATCAGGAAAGTTTTGGAAGGGCCAGCCTGCTAGAAGGGTCCCTAGTACTTATGCTACACTTCCAGCTGCATCAGCTCGACACCAAAGAGAGTGCTCTGGCTTTGCAGTGGCATCCACACTAGCACATGGGGCTGCCTGTGATAGCTGCACCCAGCCCATATTTCCAGTGCTATAGCCCATCTGCAGAGCAACCTACCTACTGGTCCTCCCATCAGGCAACTAGCCTGTTGGATGTTACTCAGTAATTTGGGTTCAAGGACTTTTCAGGGTAATGCCCAACTGTACCTATTCCTCACCTGCTTTACTCAAATCTTGTGTGAGAAAAACTGTACATATTTAGCTATGAATAAGAAAATTATAGGCTTGTATATACATCTTAATTATGATAATACCATAAAAGATTTTAATATATAGTTAAAGGTTTAGAGAGTCTTCTGGGCTCTAAAGGAATATGTTGAATTTGACATGTTTTCTAAACTGAAATTCTTATAATTAAAGTAATTATCTGGTGTTGCTTTGTATTTCCAAATGAATGCATATTGTGACCTATATAGCATACGATAAAGATTGTAATTATGCAGAATATAGTAGAGGAAGCTATTGGAGTATCTCTAAACCACCTGTGTTATTTCTTTTTAACAAGAATTTTGTTGGAAATAAAAAATATATATTTTCTAGAATAGATACACTTAAAAATGTTCTTAAGCCACTTATAAATAGGTTATAACACGGATCTAGTTCCTCATCTCTTACCCTGTAATGGTCAAGATTGTCTTCTGGAGTTGGGAGACCCATGTAACGCTCTGTGTATATTGAGTCTGTGATGGAGAAAAGAAACAAACTTAATTCATACAATAAAAAATTGTCTGTCTTTTACTGGGTTACTTTATGTTTCTTTGTATGTCTTAACTTGTGCATGGGTCTATAGTGTTACCCTCAGAAATATCTCCTCCAGATCATTTTTATTTGGCTTGTTAATGCAGCCAGACTCCTGCCTTCCCACGCTGAGCCCTAGCACATCCCCACTGAGCCCCTGAGATGAGGGCAGAGGGAGATCAAACCAGATGATCTAAAACCCAACCAACAATGCACCTGCAGAGAAGTCACATGTGAAGTGCTAAGAGGTAAGGACTCTACATTATCATCTGACCCTCTGGAAGAATCTTAATTCGAAATCGCTTAAGGCCTCAATTGTCTTGAAGTTTTTGGTCTTGACACAAGTATATGTCCTAATTTAGGATACTCTCTTTCCTTTTGGAAACCCCTCATAATGTTCAATTACTAGCTGCTTACTTAAATCATATTTTTTTTTGGCAGGTTGAAATTCACCATAATGAAAAGAGAGAATTCAGTTTATCACTTATTTGCTGTATAACCCCCTATTGACTCAGCTACTTCATCATAACACAAGTTAAACATTTGTTTTCTCTCATTTTGTGGAGAGGCCTCAGTGTTGGTTATAACAGTTGAGTATTGTGAAACAGATTCTATTAGTATCTGTCTACTGAAATGACATAAGCTCTTGTATCTATAAATATGGCAGAAAAACATATGCATTATTAGTTTTGTTATTTTGTATAATTAAACATATTTTTGCCCTATTTTTAAAAAATTAAATCATATATCTCCATATATTCTATAATATATATCATATATATGATATAATATATATGTCATGTATATGATATATATCATATAACATATATATCCTAAAATATCAGTGAGAAAATTTACTGTGGCTGAATTCCAGTATAGCTTTAAAAATCTGAAATAACTGTTTTGAAAGATGCCCCTTTAAATGACCAGATTATGGTAATTAAATAAGCATAAGAACAATATGTTGCCATTGTGCTATTTACGTTAATGGCTGAATTTCACTGTAATTATACAAACATATTAATACTTATCTCATTAATTTTTTAAATGAATATATCATCTAAATAACCTTTAGCAAGATTCTGACTCTTTTTGAATGACTGGCATTGTAGATTAAAAACTTACATTGATAATGAGTGTTAGTTGTTCCACATATATTCTGTATGTCATTTCTATGGAAATCAAAACATTTTCCTCCAGAAAGAGTAACAGCAATATTTTATCATTTTGATTAAAATGAATACAGACTATATGTAATTTTACATGTCTAGAGGACCCTAACATAGAAAATATAATATTTTAAAAGACACTTTAAAACATAAGATCTTCCTAAAATCCACATATCTTTTAACATTTAAATATGAATAACTTAGGTTGTACATTTGATAGGGGGAGAAATGGCCTTTAAGGGCAAAATAAATTTTCCCCAGACACAGACTTTAATTCTTCTTATCCTAGGACCCAAAACCCCTTTCTTATTCTGCCAACCAGGTTTACACAAGTAAGAAGATCTGAAATTTTAAAAATAGCATTTAAAAAATGCATAATGCAGTTATTGTAGACTTTTATAAATATGCTTTGACATACATTTACATAATCCTTCTATCTGATCTTTGAGTAAAATTGTTCAAATTTATACATATATAAGAATTCTAGAAACTTCTTATATGTTAGGTTGGTCCATTTAATGAATTTCTTTTCTTATCATTACATGTTTCTAAACTCACAAAGATTGTTTCTGTTATTTTATTGACCACCAGAGGTCTCCAAAAACAAGCCATCAGACAGAACAATTACTATCAAGCAGAAAAGTATTATATGAAAACAAATCCATTGTGTGAGGATCAAATCCTAACTATGCTTTCCAGTTTTTTTTTAACAGAAAGATAGAGATGTACTTCCTCCATTGGCTTCTCTTGACTTGGAGAGGCCTTAAAAAATGGTTTCCCACAGGACTGGTACTACCATATATTAGGACATAAAATATTTAATGAGCATATTCATTATCAATGAATTATCTTTAAATTACATAAAGGGCTTGAGATGGGGTCAGAAGAGGCACAAGAAAAGAAGTCATCTCCTCACCACCTCTGACTCTTCTCCCTACCTAGAGTTCCACTGCACACTCCCACGCACTTGGGAATTACAGTCTTACCTGTGTCTGATGCCTTAGGGAATAGTATTTTCTCAGTGATGAAGAGATATTCTAAAGTGGCTTTCACCAACTTAAAGACAGCAGAAAAATAACCCTCAGGAATTTCTCTGTCCCTACTCTCTTCTTTCTACCCAAAGCCCTACTTATGTTTGGCTGAAGGGAAAGAGAAACATTCTTCTCTTACTCTGGTAAGTATGTGAAGCCCCAAACTCATATTAGAATAAAGATAAGGAAGGTTTTATCTGAAGAAATGCAGCATTGGGGATGTTTTGAAATTTGGCAAACAGAATTTGTTGATAAGATTTGAGAAGAAATTTGGCAAACAGAATTTGTTTATAACTAAATGTGTAGATAACATATAATACCATCTAGCCTTTCACAATAGCAGAATAAGTGAGATCTTTTCATTATAGGCATCCATAAAGTACCTCTAAAGTGAATCATCTTGTTCACTGTAGAACCACTGAAACTCAAAAAGGAATGGTTTTGCCATTGAAATTTTAAGGTCGACCGTATCTCTTCATACCTGCTAGCAATTACGTACCATAGTACTCCCACCGTGACACAGGTGCCACGGCTATGCCACACTTGAACACGCCACTTCCTGCTCCCAGGACCATTGAGGTTACGTACCCTCCATATGACTAAGGAATGAAGAAAACAGTTATTTTTGTGGAGGTAAAGGAATTAAGGACATATGGTAAGCGAGTCGCAGTTTCCACATTTCTCACATCTTTATATACTATGCCTCTTTAGAGATAGAAAGCATGGTAGAAGAGGCTTAAATTGGTCTTAATTGGATAGTATCTAAAGAATACAATTCCAGAGCCCTGGACCCTTTTCTTGGTAGATGTAGGGGGAAAAGCATCAAAAATTTGCTGGGTAGTACCAATTAAATTTTTTAAAAAACAATAAACACTAAATCTTTACTGACTTTCTGACGCATGGGGACAAGTCTCTCTCCTTCCCTCTCTCCCTCTTTCTCTCCTTTCCTCTTTTTCTCCCTTCTTCACCTCCCTCCCTCATCATAATAAACAAAAGCCTGGCTAGTAGGGACTCATTGCCCAGAGATCTAAGACATTTTATTTGGACCTTCTTAGCTTAAAATGATAGACGTGATTTTCATCTTCAAACATTTACATACGAAAGATAAATTATCCTGCTTTGGGTTATATTCACTAAGAAATACATACAGATTCATCAGCCAAACAACTACTCACCCATCCCCAAATTGCAACCCGTTTGTCGTCCACAAATCCCATTTTTAAAAATTGTCTAAAATACATGGACAAAGTTAAAGAATTAGTATTGCACTGCATATAGAAAAGTAAGATAACTGCCCAAATGTGAAACTCTGCCATTTTTTCTCTATTTCATTCTATTAGAAACTATGATTAATTAAAGCAAGTAAATAAACACTCGAGATAAATGTCTATCATTTTTAACTTAAGAGCCAGATAAACAAGGTTTATTTTTGTTGGAGTCCATAAACAAGGTTTATTTTTGTTGGAGTCCATAAAAATTGTGTGTGTGTGTGTGTGTCTGTGTGTGTGTGTGTATGATTCACAGAAAACAAATCCTGGCAGTTTTTTTCACAGCTTTATATAAAAATTTGCAGCCCAGATGCACTTTTCTTTACATAATTGAATTTAAATCTCTCCAGATGTTTTTCAGTTTGAGAGTGGCTGCCCCTGCAATGGAGATATATAGGGGCAGAGAACATCTGGGTAGGGCTCAGAAGTGTCTTTGGGCCCCCTACCTGAGAACTTAAACACCATTCTCTAAATAAATCCCTTTTTATGCTGGGTGTTGATTAGTTAGCTCAGCATCATTAAATAAGAAGCAGATTTTCCTTGATGGATTAAGCAGTCTTTTTGCCACCAAATTGCTTTCGGTATTGTAATCCAAGGAAAGAAATGAAAAAAATGTTTTATGCACCTATTTCTTAATCTTAGCCTTACATCAAAAGACCATTTGTTCACTTTAAAAAAAATCTAGCAAATGAGACTCTTAACTTTGTAGTATTGAGGGGCGTGTGGGGGACCCTTGCATTGACCCATATGTGACTTTGAGAATTTTTCTGTTTTCAGTTGATGATATATGTCTTATGTGGCCCTGAGTTAAGCAATGTTAGAAAAAATTAAAGGTAAGTAGCTTTCAGCTCATTATCTTCTCCATGTAAACTTTTAAAACTCAGAACACTTATGTACAGAAATGTGCACCAAATCATGAGTGTACAAGTTGATAAACTTTTACAAAGTGAACATACCCTTGAACCAAGATATAGTGCGTTACTATCACCCAGAAGTCTCCAGGTCATTTCTCCCTTTGCAAAAGGGAAAAATGAAATGTTTGCCTTTTATTGGATCCCATAAAAATTTCACCTAAATTTGTGCCTGGTTTTGAACTTTCTATAAATGGGGTCATGCAGGTTGTACACTTTGTGCCTGGCTTCTTTCACTCAACCGTCTATGAGCTTTGTCTATGTTGTTGTGGATAGTTCTTTTTGGTTGCTGAAATAGTGTTCCATTGTATAAATATACTACATCTCATTAATTTTTTAACTGGAGTTGTGCATTGTGGATACTCAATTCTGTAATTTTAGGACTGGCATTGATCACATTTGAGAGGCCCTGGAAACTATGCCGTCTCTCACAGAGGACCAAGGTGGATAAATAAAAATTTATTTTTAAAATATCACAGCTTCACTCTTGAACTAATTTGTCCTCTCTCTAATCTAAACCTCTCTTTCTTAGTTTTAAATAAAACAGCTAATCATTAACTTTGATATAAGAGACTCAGGAGTACTTTATAAATTGTCTGTTTCTTTTCTTCTCTTTGGTTGTTGTTTTTCTTAAAGGCATTTTCCTCCATCCATAATCATTCATGACTTTTCCGCATTTCCTAGTTTATGATTTCACAACATTATTTTAAGTCACCTACTTACTATGTTTCCCCAGACATCCATGTAGTTGATTATAGAAACTCAAAGATTACATTTCCCATTTACTAGTTGAATGCAATTGAGTCTAAGAGTTGGAGTGAGGCCTGGATTCAAATCGTGACTTCCCTTGACAAGTTACCTAACCTAAGAGCCTCCACTTCTTTACCTAAAATGTGAGGTATGAACACCCACCTCCCAAGCTTGCTGTGCAGCTTCAATGACAATGCAGGTAAAACATTTCCCATGCTGCATGAGCATTACGGGGTAACTATCATTCATGAGTAAAATCTCTCTTAAGCCAGATCACATCTATTTATAGTCCCATAACAGCAGAGCACAAGAGTGAGATGTGATTCATACTTAATGGAGCCCTTATTATTATGAGCAATGAGGATTGTGCTCCAGTTTTCCCAAAACAGAAGAGTAACCCTCATAGACTGTAGAAGCCACTCCTAGGACTTCATAGCCGTCACCCTCCTAAATGTAAATGTACACTGAACTCCTCTACTTATCCTTCACTTTCGGGATGGTTGGCTTGTTTAGTTAGATGTTTACTCAGGGGTGCATGTATCCCTCAGTTTGTCCATATGTTTGATGAATTTTGAGTCTCTCTTCCTAGAAGATGGTAGCACATATGTCAACTCCCTTTCTAGAGTCACATACAGAGAGGAATTTAGGAAATATTTTTGTGTATACAAATCTATGACAAGATACATTTTATCAAAACATGATATCTTTACTAAAAATCCACCCCAAGAATGAAAGATTGCAAATTCATCCCAACACTCTTTAAATTCTTCACACTTTACAACTTTAAAATACTAATTGAAGGGGAAAGATCAGATGACCCTTGAATTTACCTCCTAGTCACTCACCTGGCTGCTTCAATTTGATCTTCAACTTCAAATGTTCCCAGTCTTCTGTTGATTGCGTGCATGATCTTATCTCCTTGGTAACCACTTCCTCTGCCATCAAAGCTAGCTACTATAATGTTTTCTGTGCTTGCAAGGTAAGTAGCCCAGTTGAGTCTGAAGACAGCATCTGCTTTTTGACTACAGGGGCCTCCATATCTGGGGAAAATCCCAAATTGTTAGCCTTTGTGGTTTTCCTGAATCAAATGAGGAGTGCTTGCATTTCTATTCCCTGTGGACAAGAAGTGTACATCTTTCCTGTTCATGAGCCTGAAATCGTGCCAGCCACCAGGGTGTCCACAATAGGTCCTCTAAAACTTGGCAACATGACTAAAATGGCTGGGGTTGCCTTCAAAGATGCCTATCAGTTTTATCTTTGAAGATTGTTATCAAACACAGACTTCACAGACCAACATCTTCAAAGTTATATATATCTTGGAAATCAAAGAAATAAATTCTCTAAGAGTTGGGATAGGGGAGTTGTGTTACGAAAACATAATGAGGATGACAATAAATGCAGCTTTGAATATATCTTTCCATCTCAGCTTAAAAACACACTCCCAGACTACAGGTGTATTTCCTACAGGTCAGAACTTCCTTAAGGACTTTGATTGCTATATAATATGCATTACATTTCCCCCAGTACCTAGCACAGTGATGTATACTAAGTCTCTACAAGTCTTTGTGGAATGGGCCAAAGTATGAATGAATGTTATTCCTTAAAACTTCAAAGGAGAAAGAAATAGACTACATTGGAAAATGGGTATGTTGTTCGGCATTTTATTTATCAACAAGTTTAACTTCCTTATATCTGCAGTCTTAATAGACTACAACCTACCCCCCACCCAGCTGTATGCACAATCTCCATTAAGCCCTCTCATTTCTGTTCATTAATCAGGAGAAGCTCCCTATGGCTCATTGCGTCTCATTTAAATATGTCATCTTTGCACTATCCTTGCTCCTGGACCCAGACCCTCTCAGTAACTCTTCTGGCCCCAGCCTCTCTCTCTTACTCATTTGCTCACTGTCCCCTCCACAGGATTGGACAAGTCCCGCTTGCACACATTTGCTAACATTTTCCTCCATCTCCTTAGGGAGAACAGTCAAAAGAACTTTAGTTTTAAACAAAATATTGTATTACTTTAATTTTAAACTAAGTATTGTAACATTCTTACTTTAAAAAGAAGAATGCATTCAAGCATTTCTTGGGCAAGTAAACATTTTTTAACAACATGTGAAATGCCTTGGTCTTTTCAATGATTTAAAATTTGGTAGAGTTTCAGCTCCTCTTAATATTAGTTATAGATCAAGTTACCTAACCCCCAAGAGTAACATTATTTTTAAAAATAGAAAACAAAGATTTAGACAGCTAAGCCCATGAAGAAGAAAATAAATGAAAAGAAATGGGAACTAAATTTACGGTTTTTTTTTTAACTTTCCTAATGAAGGGGAGTTTTAACCATTACTTACTGGGGAGTTAAAGAAGATAAAAATATCGCTCTTTTCTAAAGGGCTCTTTTTTAGTATCGGGCTAAAGCCTAAAGCAATTTAGAGTCAGTATCGTCAAAGTTAGGCTTAAGGAAAATCAAATAGTACATGCGAAAGTTTAAAATATCTTTTTCTTTGAGCTTTTTTGTTCTGTTTACATGGAACTGGGAATATAGTGGAGCAAGGCTGTGTCTGATGCTAATATCTATACCCTTCCTTTTTTTTTGCTAGTTGCAACGGAAAAGTAACGCCCCTGAGTTTCAGTTTTCTTTTCTATATAATTGGCCTAATAGAACTCACATCGGTTTCTGTATGAATGAAATAAGGCAAATTGCCTGGCATGCAGCATGCACCCAGCTCACTTGTTGGTTTCTTTTGTTTTATTTTTAATAAAGGAAACGAGCAAGCCAGGAGAGGAAGAGCGGCATTGTGGCATTATGCATGAGGTCAGGGCAATTTTAGAAAGGTTAAAGTAAAATGTATTCCTAATAATTTTATTTTACAAAAATATTTTACAAAGATGCCATATTGAGAATTTATATGAGTTCACATTTGCTGCTCAAAGACTTGTGATTTCAGAATTTTCTCTAAGACTGAAGAAGACTAGATGAAAATGAATAGTTTCCTATATCATATCTTCTCTTCACCAAAAAGGGGAATGGAGCATACCAGGCAGTGACAGTTCAGGAACTAAAGGAGGAGAAACTTGATGTCTAATGAATCAAAGGCAACCAACGGGAGATGGTTGGGTGAGTCTAGGCATAAGGAAATGTGAAGATTGTTAATATGCGTCTCTTGCTTGTTAAAATGTCCACAAAGTAAGGATGAAAAATGGGGACTTGAGAATGCCTTTGGAATTTCCTTGCAGTTCAGGGAAATCAATCAAAACAAAATCCATATGCCACTATGATGGAGGAAGAGTGTCTACCTTCTCCATTAGAAAGATGGAAGAAAACATAGGTTTGGGCTTGTGATTGCAAAATGGAAGGAGGAAATTGTAAAACTGCTTCACAATGATTCAAGAAGAGACAAAGGAGGCATTTGGCTCTATTTTTCAGTAAGCTACACTGAGCAAAAAATGTACCACAGTTAACTTCTAAATTGTCCCCTCCTCTTGAATACTTACACTTCTATTAGTAGAGGATATTTCTTGGATTTATCAAAATGAGGAGGCAAGATCATCTGATACCAAAATTCTAAACAAACAGAAAGATTCATTAGTGAATTAACAACGATTATTAGCACGTTATTTCGGTTTCTTACTGTCAGTGATAAGTCATATCTAGTTTAGCAATTTGTTAAATTAGAAGAGAAAAAGAAAATGAACTGCTTAGATTTAGCATGTTTTTAAGATATAAAAACATTCTCTTTAAGGTTAAAATACTAGTTAAGGTTAAAACAATAAAGTTGTTTCTAATGTATCTATTAAATACATTGGTGCCTTGTGAAATAAAAGTGCATCTTAGAATTGCTAATGTTTTGTTTTTATGATTCTGTTCTTTGGCATCTGATCTACTTATCTAGTTTGTTTATGGCTTATGTTCTAAGTTTTCCTCCAAAATGTTTTCCTCTTCTTGAATTTCCTAGATGTTTAGGATTTTTAGTTGGCCCCAACTCTATTTTAAAATTCTGATTTAATAACATTTTTGTAATTCTTATCGCCATCCCAGACCGCAGAGCTGAGTTCCCATTTTCAGCTCTGTTTCACAGAATGAAATCAGGTTTACATGGAGCAAACTGTTGTGTATATTCTGTATGATCTTCTGCAGATCTGTTTAATTCTCTGTGCTTGATTTAACATCAGTTTAATAAAATATTTCCCTCAATAATAAATCAGTATCCTTTGCTCCCAAATTCAGGATGACGAATTAGACTAATAAATCTAAAAAGAAATAAAAAAGGAGAGTTGTTCCATATTTTAATAAGATTATTTCCAGCTTAAGTAGATTTAACCTTTAGGGGAAAAAAATCCTTATCTCTAGAGATTCTTCTTCTTTACATTTACCTTTTTTGGTTTTTTTGTTGCAATTATTTTAGTTGAAGAAAAAAGAAAGATCTAGGAGTAAATCTTTATATAGATAAGATTTCTCTTCAATTTGTATTTTGCTGATTATTATATGCCTTCTGATTAAATGTGCTTATAAGAACAAAAATTTAAGTCTCTATTATATTTCAATAGAATGTCAAACTATCAGTTGATCATGATGTTTTTGACGAATATGCCAAACCCACCATTTGATCTCTCCTTTGTTTGAATCAACACTAGTTGATTAGAAGTGTTTTAGTTCCCCCTTTTTGAAAATGCAGTGTTTTCTCCGGGGGGATTCTTTCTGATTCCCAGGCCTAACCTCCTCTGCTTCCTGCTCCCTGCCTCCCCCTCAGACTCTCCTTTCCTGGAGTTGGGAATGCATCACCACCTCCCAGCTAGCCCCTTCCCCTCTGCCAGCTCCAAGCAACACTCCCTATCAGGTTATTCATCCAATCATGTGGCTTCTCTGACTCCAAAACCTTCAGGGGCTCCCCACCGTGTACCAACTAAAATAGAATGTCACATCTCAGTATTCAATGCCTTCTGCCCCAGGCAGTCCAGTCAGCTCACCAGAACTTTAAGTCCTTGTCACTCAAGCCTGATTCAAAGGCCAGCAGCACTGGCATCACCTAAGAGCTAATTACAAACGTGGAATGCTGGACCCACCCTGACCTGCTGAATCAGACTGCAAGTTAGCAAGTTCCCCGGGGACTCATGCACATTCAGTTTGAGTAGCACTGCCCTAAGCTGTTCCTCAGAAGCATCCTACACTTTCCAGTGTCTTCCTGCCATTTAAAACTAGATGAGTTGAGTCTTTTCTATTATCCTATATTAAAAAGAAAATCTAAAGTAAATCAGTCCTGATGGGTTCTCCCTTCACTATGAGTCGTTAGCCCTTAATGGAAAAAAACAAACAAAAATGACAAGATTTCCTATTCGAAAAACCCCATTCTCCTTAGTGGTCCCTGAATATCCATGATCAGGCCACTTGGCCAGGGACTAGGTTAACTATGTGGGGGCAGGAAACTTAGGAAAAATGCAAGATTTGTCTGCTGAGACTGAAATCTCAACATTTTATAGCCAACTCTAATTTTTTTATATAACTATCTCAGATATTTTTGATCTCTTCGGGTTGAAGGTAAAATATATCAGGATATCATTAAGTTAAACACACAATTCATACTTAATAGTAAAATAGAGTTACTAATGGGATGAAACTAAACTAACAATAGTGCATTTTCTCCAAATACCTTTCCTCTTAAAAAAATAAATTTTACATAGAATGGTACTGTATTTTAAGACAAAAGAATGTAAAGCTAGTAGTTCTTGTGACAGAACATTTCATGGAAAAATAATTAGATTTTATATAATATAAAATGCATATTTTCTGATCAAATTATCATATTTAGTTCTATTTTTACTGGTATTTCCATGAAAAGTTCTGGTCCAAGAGAAATTGAACTTACTTGTTTCATTCAGAATAATGAAGTCCAGTGTTTTTGAGGGCATCTGGACATCCTGTAGCGTTTTATCCAAAGCTGAATTGTCTTCCAGGACTCTCAGTTCTAAACAAATACACAATGCAGCAGTAATTCCTTACAATGTGAACAATCTGCATTATGCAGAGCAATAATGAACAAGCAGGCAATTCACCGATGGGACTACACATCAGGTTATAAGCCCTGTGTTCTAGTCATTGTTAAAGACACCCGAAAGGCAAAGAAAATCACATTATGCCAAATACATCTTGGTCCTATTCATGCACACGCTTTCCTGAAAAGGCAACAAAGGGAGAAATATGAGAAATACCTTGATCATTCCTGCTGCTGTGCAGAGTATAGAGTGGCAGACCAGGGCCTGTTAGTGTAATCAGAGGAAAATATATTTCAGACGAGTTTTATGTTTTAAAAGAAGATAGCATACTTTTAAATAATAACATTTATTATCATTTAACTTTGATAGAATTTTGATACATTTAACTTTGATAGAATAAATATCATAGTGGAGAAGGGGCTTAATAAGTGTCAGCTGTTTTTTCTTTTCCTTAAAGGGCAATTTGAGTGTAGGAAGTATTACTGGAAAGGCACAGGGCCCAGTACAATGAAGCAGGAAATGAACTTGGTCCTGCTGAGTGCTTTGGGGCACGTTATCATCCCTGCGCCCAATTTCCTCATCTGTGAACTAAGCCCTGGGGACCTTCTGAGAGCGCCTATCCTTCCCTGCTCTAAATCCAGGATCCAGCGAGGACCACACCAGCCCTCAGGCCCTGCCCATCTTAGGGCGGAGCTCTGGGGCTAGCCTCACCTGGTGGAAGGGGGGTTCACCTCCCGCTGCCCCCACCCCACCGAGTCTTGGAGCCAGGAAACACATCTGCACAGCGCCCGACTTGGATAAGCGATTCCTTTCTGGCATGCAAAAGTGTTTTTCTCACACGCTCATATCTTCACTATTTATCCCAACTGTGGTAGTTGCAGAGTGGAAGGTAACGTATAGAAAGCTATTTTGTGAGCTCTTTGATTTTGATGTACTTGCATAATAACATTAATTTTTACACTTGATCAGAACCATAGTGAAGGCATTATACAGATCCAGGTTTGAATCTTGGCTTACCTGCTGTGTGACTCAAGACAACATATCTATGCTTCAATGTCCTCACACATAAAATGAAGATAATAATATTTACTGTATAGAATTTTCTTAAGGATCAAACAAGATCACGAATATAAAACTTTTAGCACAGTGCCTAGTATAAAACACATGCCCAAGAAACAGTGACTGAAGACAGCCATAGTAAAGAACCATAAAGAGAATTATAATAGTAAAGAAAATATACTAGTAAAGAAAGACTCAGATAACTAGTTCGGAGACTTTTTTTGGCAATGAACGTTCTTTTCAGAATATCTAGATTCTTTCATTTTGAGAAGTAATCCAGCACAGTGCTTAACAGAGGGCTTGGGAAGCTGAGGCCTGTGTTTGAATCCTGTTGGGCCTCTTGTTAGCTGTGTGACCTGTGGAAGTCACTTTGCCTCTCCTGGTCCAGATTTCTTCACTTACAATAAAGAAAACAATAATAACAATAGCAACAGAAGACAGAGCAGTGAGCAGGCTGCATGGCAGACACCACCCACATACATTTTCTCATCCAAAGGGACAAGTGCATAAAATAATTTAAAAACTCACAATATGTGCATATCAAAGTATAAAGTGCCTCTGTTATACATAAGCTTGGGTCGGGGGCGGGAGGGGGCCGTGAGTGTGTGTTTTCAGTTGAAAGAAAGGCAGGCAAGTCTCCTGGTTAGAAGGGGAAGGAAAGGTGGTTAACTCACCTCTTAAATGTGAGTGGAGAGAAGGGGACTCATATGATTTCAAGGACTCCTCCATTTCAAAAGGAGAGAATGGAACAGGGCAGAAAGAATATTTCCCAAACTGGCGACAGAAAGGGAGATTTCAGAGATGGGGAGAGTGAGCCAGGAGGGTGGTAAGAAGGTTGTCCAGAGAGAGGAGGCGAGTGGCAGGGGAGGGAAGCCTGCAAGCTGAGGGGATGGCGGGAGCTACTTCAGACGCTGTGAGAGCCCCGCTGCCCTCCTTCCAGCTCCCCTAGTCAGTTCACACTTACCCGAACATCTCAGTTGATAGTACTTCGCCTCTTCACTAAATGATACAGAATAGTACTGACACCTTTCTGGCTTCAGCTCACAACTAAGGCATGTCACTTTTGTGGAGTCATTAAGTTGGATTCTGTAAAACCAATGATGGAAGTTAAGTGCTTGACGAAAGGATCAATGAATGGAAGGAACTGAATAATGCCATATTCTAGTTTTAAAGATATGGGAATGCCAAAGCAATCCTCAAAAACTTTTTTAAAAATGTGAAATAAATACATGAATTAATTCATAATACTTCAAACTTCCTATTGTTTGGAAATATCACAAAACACCTAATAAAGTCATTCTCTTTTGTTGACAAGCAGATTGATTTATAAAGGAATAAAAGCACTCGATAGCAATACCAGTTAATATATTAGTTAGAACAAAGCAAAAAAAAAAAAGGAAAAGAAAAGAGAGCCGCAGGACCTGTTCATCAGCTAAAACAGCTCAATTCAATAATTTAATAGAGCTCTTACTTATAAAGATTTCTTCCTCCTGGCATTCCTTTATATTCATTACTAATGTAGTATCTGGGAAAAAACAAAATGAAATATATATTAATTACATTTTTAAGATAAGTCAAGTACATGCCATTTAACTCAAACACCAGCATTAGTGCTCAGACAAGTGCCTGTGCGTTACTGCTTGCCCTTCTCTTATCACTGCTCCCCTGCCCCCTGGCCCCTAGAAGCCATTTTTCTGCATCATCTCTGAATAGGACATTCTTTTTTTTTTTTTTTTTTTTTTAATTTAACAGACTAAACTATCTGAATCCAAGGGATTTCCCCCTTATTTAAAGAGACAAGTAAAAACTCAAAAGTCTTTTGTAAGAAAAATATGACGGGACAACTAGCCTGAAATTGAGACCCCTTTTATCTACACTGTTTTCCATATTTTCTGTTTTATAACACAAACTACTCAATAGCAGGAGCCCCATCCTCCGGAGAGTGGCAGAGCCACTTCTAAAGAGGATCTTCAAAACCTGCTTTGGGCAGTGGCAAAATTCCTCTGTGGTGAGATCAATAAAGAATTATAAAAATATCTAAGATTCTAATGAAAAATAACACTTGCTTTCCAACCAACTTGTGCATGGTAGTTGACAGCCTCTGCAAAGCTTTCTATTTTCCAGAGGGTAGGGCAGAGACACGGACAGATAAGACAGCCTCTCCACGCCTTCCAAAAATTCAGTGCCAGTTGAAATTTAACAAAATGCTCCCGAGTGCTAGAATGGTGTTCCAGGACGTTTAGGAAAAAGAGGCTGCAGCTCCTCTAATGCAGAGCAGGTGAGAGGAAGAGGTAGCGCTGCTTGGTGGCGTGGTATCAAGTCTGCTGAGCATCTGTGAAATCATTAAGCCTTCCGTATGTTAAAAAGAAAAAAGTACTGAACACAGTCCAAATAGACTAGTCTTCATTTGTAGGAGATTTTTCCCTATTTCTGGGCAAAGAGGGTGTGATTTGATGAGTATGTTAACATCCTGTCAATTATTAGAATACTCACAGGTAATCACTGGTAAGAGCTTCTATCCCAATGACTTCCCAGGCTCCTGTGGTAATAAATGTGCAACCCTGGTGGGGTTTTTGAAAAAGAGCTTTATTAGACTCTCTAAAAAGTGGAGGAGGATTAAATCATTTATATCAGGAATTCAGATCATCTCTGGTCTTCTTGGGTCTCCCTACCCCATCCTACCCGACTCCAGATACCACAGGGGAATCTGAATTAGTCTGATTATTTGTACGCATTGATCGACTTCACCAAATGATTTCCACTTCAAGTTAGTTTCATGAAAAGGAGCTCAATCTGAAATAAATTAAGAATACTCACTGTCTTATCTACTTGGAAATGACAAATGTGTCTGTAGCCTGCTTCATTGCTGATGATCTTGTAAAAGCTGTTCCCGTCAGAGGTAAAATGAGGTTCTGCAGGCCTAAACTAGAAAATAATGGAAAACAAAAAACGCAGTACAGCACAAGTCTCATCTTAGTACCAAGGTTAGTTTTAGAAAGTCCTTCCAACACCTATGCTCAAAACTCAGGCTTCGTTTACTTGCCAAATGAAACCAGTGTCTCAAAAGAAAATTCTCCTTCTAGAAAGTGCAGACAAGATCTAACTCCCAGGGAATGTTTTGTGCAGAGCAAATGAGAGAATGCACAGAAAGAGGCTGACACAGGACACTCAACACATAGCAGTGGATATTGGTATCCTCGGGCATCTCCTCTCTGTGGAGGATAACTCCATGACTGCTGGCTCTAAGTGAGCAAAAATTAGCATTAGCCTTTCAGTTTTAAGAAGTAAATTTCCTCAGGGTCTCAAACGTGCTTTCTTCAGTCTGCTATTATTTTTGAATGTTTCAGATTAGAGGTGACTTGTAATTTGAGGGGGTTTTTTTCCCCTTTTTTTTTTACACACATTTCTTTTTGAAAGTCAGACTTAGAAAGTTTTTAACCATTTCTGGACAAGATCCTATAAGGAAGGTCTGTCGCATATTTCAGATGGAAACATTCATATACTTATTTTTATTATAAGCCTTTTAATTTTGCTAAATAGGATCAACAATTTACCAAAAAAAAAATACTTATATGGAAATATAGAACAAAATTTCCATTTTTTACAGTTCCATAAAAGATAGTTCTCAGAACATAATGTAGTTTAAGCAGAAGAGTGTCTATACCAGCCTGAAAGGAATATGTCGCTTTACGACTTCGATTCCCTTCCTCCGTTTGAGAGCAGGTAGGAGATGGTCTTTTAAAACTGTTGGTTCACTTCAACCTCGATGTTTCCTTTCTCATCAGCTCCCATTTTGGGAAGGAAGAAAAATGCTTCCCTCTTCTATTTAGTGATTCAAAGCGAATTCATTTATGGAGCAAGCTGAGGCGTGCAGTACACTTGGTGTTCTCATTACAGAGCTCTGAAACACATTCCCCTCTCTAGACCTGTGTTCACAGCCTTATCTTTTTAATACATTTCCCTGTTTCCCCTGGATGGAGTTGTGCCTAGTAGAAATGTGTGAAAAGTGGCATCTGTCTGGTTAAATACAGAGAGGAAAAAACATATTTTTTTCAAAGAGTCGTGAGGAAGTGTAGCATGTCTCTTGCCATGGAGGAAACCACTTTTCATGTTGGCAAACCTCTCCCCTCTGCCCAATCAATGCCTGAAGGAAAGGACGTGTGAATGCTATGGGAGCTCTATGCCCAGCTGGAAAGGGTCGTGTTCCTGGTCCAGGGGACCTCACCTCTATGCCCCAAGAGATGTGAAGTCTTTATATTTTTGTGTCACTTTGTTTCTCTCTTAAAAGGGGCTTAAGAGAAGTGGTCATAAAAATTAGGCAGGATTCATTCTTCATCGTCCACACAATGTGCCACCTTGGCTGGAGTGCCTTCCTCAACTTGTTCTGTTCCATGGTCTTGTAGCAAAGTAGTTGGTGATTCTGCTCTAGGCATAGCACAGCATGAGTGCGAAGCATGAGAAGTCTCTGAGGGTCACCGTGCTTTCTTGGATAAAGCTCTGCATCAAGGGGTCTAGTAAAGTGTGAACCCGCATAAGCATGATTTCCTCCAAAGAGAGGTGCATAGCAGGTGTGATGTGTATGCCGCTGGGTTGCTGCTGGATGTAGTCACATCTCCTGACGCATTTGTGCAGGCTGTGGATGGAACCCGTGTTTTCTGCCTCTAAGCACATTAACTTCAAATATGAGGTCAATGAGCACATTCTGCATCTTGGCTGCCTTTCAGCAATATTTGCTTTTTAACTTACCGGGAGCTACAATTCTCCTACAGTATGTGTTTTGTTTTGTCTGCTCTTCTCTTGATTTTTCATTTGTCTTCTTTCTTTTTCCAAGTGAGTATGATAAATATGCTCTATAAAAAGATATCTCTACAGGGGGCATTTAAATATTTTGAGAAATAGGTCACCTAATATCTCTATTAATAACAAATAACGTAGGGCCCTTGCTTGGTATATCTACATACTGAATAACTTTGAAAATCTATCTATATTACAAAAAAACCCATAACTCTTTCACACTTACTCTTCCAACCCAGCCAGTAGTACTCATTTCAATGTGTTGCCGTGCCTAGGGAGGGAAAAATACAGACAGGTGTTTCAAAGAAAAGTGAGATGATGAATTCTATTCTTCAGCCACAATTTGTGGTAATATAAGCAAAATTGTACTTAAAACAATTGAAAGCTATCTCCATTCACGTATTTGTGTTTATGGTGGCATTTTTTATGTAATTACATTAGATCATTTACCTCTCTTGCCTAGAGCTCTGCCCTGGGTCTACGGAAGTTCCCCTGGCCTTTTCAGTTCAATAGGTACAGAACTGAAGATAATGATGTTATCTTTCCTCTATTCCCACCAGCTTGCTCTTACTCCTTCCCTCTTCTCCTGGTTAGTGGTACCAATTCACCCAAGCCAGAGACCTAGCCTTCTCACAGGGACACCCCTCAGTCCCCGTCATCCAGTTCTTTGGCTTCTCTTGTCCTTCTCCACCACTGCTGCCTTAGGTCATGTCCTATCAGGCTTCCTTGGTCCATTGCCCTGATCTCCTGGATGGAGACCCAGCTGCTGTTCTCTCCTTCCTGCTCTCCGTCCTGCTCAATCCCTAGCTGACCTCATTTGGCAACATACAGTTCTATCTTATCATGATCCTCTCCTATTTAGAACCTTGAAGGAGCTCCCCATGTCTTACAAGATAAGTTCAAACTCCTCAGAATGGCAGCTGAGCCTTAGCCGACATCTCTAACCTCAGTTCTCAGCATTGTGCCTCTCCCCTAATGCTTAGTCCTAGGTACCCCCAGACCCTGCATGGTCCAAGCTATTCACACTGGATGTCTTTGCACAGCCTCTGCTCATAGGGTCCCTATGCTTTTGTCTGCCCAGCACACGGCACCTTATCCCTGACTGTCCTATGTCTCTCCCATGTCGGCTCCCATCCTACTGTGTGTGCCCCCAGTCCGGTCGATCATCTTCTTTTGCCCTTCTCTCTATACCTAACTTATACCATTTTAGGGCACAATATCCTGATATGAGGATGATTTAATTGGCAGGAAGCAGAGAGTTTGGATTTTTAAATTTGGATTATGGCTGTTATGTGACCTAATCAAGCTCGTTAACCTTACTGAGCCTCACACTCCACAGTGTCTGACTACTGTGAATGTTCAAGAAATGGTAACTATTATTATTGATTTGCATAATGGTATTCCCTACTAGAGCATAAACATTTTGGGGACAAGCATGCTGTGTAATTCATTTTTTTTTTTTTTTTAATATCCAGAGCTATGCATACAACTTGGGACATAATAGGTATTCAATGTTTCCTGCATAAATGAATGAGTGACTCAAGATACAGGTTGCCCAAGCTTTCTGAAGCGAGAACACGCCCTGTGCTCAACCAGGATGGGAGCAGGGAGGGGAGGTATGTAGGCACAAGGCCCATTACCAGAAAAAGCTTGTAGAGTGTCCTTGACAAATGGCAGCAAATGTCCTCCAGCCTACCCCTCCTGAGATTGCTGGCTCCCAAAGGGGCTTGCATTCTGATCCAACAGCTTAGCTGGACCTTGTGGTCTCTTGGCTGGAACCCCTCCAACATCTCAAAGCTGGATTAACACCGGCCTTTGCCTCAGTGTTGCTACCCTCTCAGCCTAGTAGCTATCCATTTACATCCTAAAGCTTTTTAAAGCTTAGAGATAGTCACAGGATGGTAATGGATTTGTGGCCTCTTGATATGTGTTTTGTTTCACCTGTACTCAGCTGGTCATTCCTCACTCCCTGTATTTCTCTATTGAAACACACTTCATTGAACTTGCAGGCTGTGGCCCTCTTGGACTTTTTGAATTTTGACATCAAATTCTGTCTTCTGGGTTTCCAATCACCCACCCCCTTCCCAAGTGATAATATCCATAACTAAAATAGTATGACTCGTGAGCGATGGCGAAATAGAAGTACCACCAGATATCAGATTATCTAAAAGTTAGTCAAGACTTACCCACTGCCTCAGGGTCAGACAGAATCAGAAAGAAGAGACACTCTAGCTTTATTTCTGGATTCCCAGCCATTCACTCTGTCTGTTTTCATACAGCCCTCAGATCACATGCAGCTTTAGAGGCAGAGCATCCCCATTCCACCTTACCACTAAGCAAGTCCATCTTCCGGTGGAGTTATCATAGTCACAAATATCCATGATCGAATAGTTTTGAATCCTCCGGAGCCACTGCAAAGAAATCCTTTCTGTGGTTACCCATGTCACGTCACACAGGTAGTGATCCCTGGAAGGAAGGTAGGAAGGAAAGTAAGTAGAAAGGAAAGAGAGAGAGAGAATAAGTATTTCCAGACCTTGGTACAAATAGACATTTTACTCAATGAAATCAATCTTAATGGGAATACAATTTTAAATGGTTGAAACCACTTATACCATAATATGTCACCTTTTCTTAATGCTTAAAATGTAATTTAATTTTGAACGGAAATTAAAATGTATCTCACAGGAAAAACAGCAGCTAACATCATACAGTGCCTTACCAAATGGGATGCACACCATGGCTCAAGATTTTTCAAGTCCTCCACTTGGACTTGGTGGTGCCAGGGAGTCAAGAGTGACCTTTTCCTACTTATTTTCTGCTGTCTTGATGGAACATTACAATGAGGCCAGGGACACTGGCTGGGATTTGAATATTTTCTGGTAATTTGATGTGTTTCTCTAGAAAATTCTTCCTATTGGGGTGAAACTACAGCTGACCCTTTTCTCAACTTCACTTTCAAAGAGGAAAAAAATTGACTCACATCTCTACAAACTTTGAAAATCAAATAATTATATTGTAAAAAAACTTTTCTCAAGAGTCAAAACATGAACAAAGTGAAGATATTAAGGAATCTTTTTGCATTTTAACACAAATTTATACAAATAGAGATATCTCTAGCAGTGCGTCCTGCTCCAACACATACCTTTAAACATTTTTGGAAGCACATTTTGATTTATTGTGAAATGCATGGAATTCATAATTTACTTTAGCACTAGCCTCCCTAAATATTTGCTCTGGATAGTTTATTTTATTTGGCTGTCCCCACCCTCCAGTGATTGATTTTGTATGACTATTCTTAATTAATCACTTCTTTCCATTGTCTGATCAAAGCCTTGTTTCCTTTTGTCAGAAGGATTCAAAGAAATCTTTTCTTTCCCCTTTTCCCATCTGGCCCTATGACCATATCTGTTCTCCCACAAATGCTCTAAAAATGCTCCCTTGCTCTTTCCTTCACAGGCTTACCATCCCCTCCTCTTGTCACTTTGCTCTCCTTGCTTGACTGCAAGCTCTCTGTGGCAGGGACACAGGGTAGCCCCAGGGCTCAGCAGACTACCTGGCGCACAACAGGCAATCCCTAAAATTCTGTAGAATGCAGTGCTGAAGACAGGGAAAAATCCTGTCCTGTCCTTTGTGGCCTAAAGAGCTCTGTCTTTCCTCAGAATTCAGGGATCACTTCCTGTCTCCACTCCCTTCACAGACATTAAATCAAACAACAAACAGTTATTGAGCACTTGGGGTGGATCAGGTGCTGGATGAAGCACTTTAAACCTGTCACTACTTCCCTCTCCCCCTTCTACTGCTGGGGCCACTTACCGTGTTAATGCACCAGGGGTACCTGGGCCTCCAGGTTGTCCCCGCTGCAGGTAGCAGGTACTGAAAGAAGACCAAACCCCTTCACCCAGCAGCAAAGCACCACATTGGCACAAATAGGGACTCCTCTCCATTTCACGCCTTTCCCTTGCTTATTAAGAACCTATACACTGGGGCTGGCCCCGTGGCCGAGGGTTAAGTTCGCACGCTCTGCTGCAGGCAGCCCAGTGTTTCGTTGGTTCGAATCCTGGGCGTGGACATGGCACTGCTCATCAAACCACGCTGAGGTGGCGTCCCACATGCCACAACTGGAAGGACCCACAGCGAAGAATATACAACTATGTATTGGGGGGCTTTGGGGAGAAAAAGGAAAAAAAATAAAATCTTTAAAAAAAAAAAAGAACCTATACACTACCTAGTCTGCATGGTTGGTGTCCCATAAACACGCTATGAGGTCTCCTAGCTGCCCCACTTTGTTCAACCTGTCCTTCGGTCTGACAAGACTGCCATGCTTCAACTTCTTTAGGTTTTACTCAACAACCTCCTGTCCATGATGCTTTCTTGGAAACCCTCTCCTTCTACACCACTATCACCAGCTTTATGGTGCTTGTCACCAACTGCGCAGCTGCAGGGTCTGAGAGTGTGACTACTTTTTTGCTTGCCCAGGAGCAAGGGTGCCTCAGCTCATCTAACTCTTCTGCGTTGTACCCAGTGCACAACATTAAATGAGAAAATGGAAAGGCAAATAAATCTTATTGAGGATAGGAAATAAAAACTTGCAAAGGAAATGGAAGAATGAAACACAAGATAGAAAATAAAATTTTTTGAAATTAATTTTCTAGACCAGGGGTCAGAAAACTTTCTCAGTAAAGGATCAGACAGTAAATATTTTAAATTTGGCAGGCCACGTGCTGTCTGTCACAATGACTCCACTCTGCCTTTGCAGCACAAAAGCAGCCAGAGACAATATGTAAGGAGAGTGTGGCTGGGTACCAATGAAATGCTGAGATTTTAAGTTCATATAATTTTCACATGTCATGAAGTATTAATTTTCCTTTGATTTTTCTTCCCAACCGCTTAAAAATGTAAAAACCATTCTTACTTGCAGGACCATACAAAAACGGGCGGGGGGCTGGATTTGGTCTTGGGCCCTGGTGTGCTAACCCCTGTTCTATACCAGTAGTTCTTAGTGTTCTAGGTCAAAAACCCTTTGTATATCTGATGAAAATCATTTACCTTTCCACACACATTTTCCAAGGGTTCCATGGATATCGATTAGGAACGTGAGCTCCAGAAATAGCTTTCTCATTTTCTAAAGTGTCCCAGTGCGGGAAAGGGGCAGACGAAGGGGGAATAAAACTCTTTAACATGACTGAGGGGTTACCTGGTACTAAGTAGCTTTATGTACTAGAAGCCATAAATTATGCTTCAGGTTCAGAAATCAGACATATAAAAGTAACGTCCCCATTTAAAAACACTGAGGAATGGAATTTGGGAAGTCTGCCAGAAAACTCACATGCACCTGGCATCTTTCCTGCCCATTCCTAGATCAAAGGTTCATGAACTCATATCCCCCACTACCTTTGTCACTCTCCACAGGCCGGGTGTACTCTGCACCCTGGGAGGCCTCAGTGAAGGCGGGTCACCAGAGGAGCAGACAGTTAATTTTGAATTCTCATATAAACATACTTCTCTTCAATCACAGTTTCTCTTTAGGATGTAGAATTAAGTGGAGACAGAAGGAGGGTGCATATCTCAGCCCTGAGTCAAGATTATGCCAGGCCAAGGTATCAGTGAGTCATGAAAAAGATACAAGGAAACCAATAGCTTAATTGTATTTTTTACTGAAAGGTTTAAGTCCCCACTTAAGACTAGAAAAATCCAACAAGCAGGATCATCAACTATACTTTGCACTACACGCCGATTTTATTCTGCAAAAACAGAAAGGCAAATATTGAGTAGATTTTGGTTATATAATGGTTGGGGGAGGGAAGGAGGAGGGGCCTTGAAGACAGCCTGGGCTTTCCTTGAGCCAGTGACTGCCTATCCTGGGTTAGACATAGTGATTCAACAAGCTCTTCTAACTGCTGGAACAGGATTAGTCTAAGGGGAATATGGTTGATTTTAATACTAAAGTAATGAAGTAATTTGTGGACATAATCATAAGAGTTCACACCCATGTGGAGCCTACTATGTGCAGGGAACTGTCCTTAGTGCTTGACATAAAGCTCATGACCACCCTGTGGGGTAGGAATGCTAAGAGTTCATGTTTAGCAGAGAAGGAAACAGAAGGAGAAAGAAGTTAAGTAACTTGCCCAAGGTCACACACTGGAAGGTGTTGGAGCCATGATTCAAACCAAGCAGTTGGCTTCAGATTTTCTGCTCCCAATCCCTCGCTCCCTCTGTAGAATCTCCACCCATCCCTCTGGTAGATATTACTAGCTAGCTTCACCCTCTTGCTTCTTTTCAGGATAAAATTCCTCATTCTATGCAATCTATTTATTCCTAGAGAGTGTGTAAACTGAAAAACTGAATTTTATACAGCAAATCATCTTTGAATGCACTGGGAAAGATTTGCTTTTGAAAGTCATAGTACAGAGAATCCTGTTGTAAAGTGACTATTGCCTTGCAAACAGTAGGCATTTAATAAATGTCTGTTGAGTGATATTAATTCCTCTAATTTGTGTAAATGTTTTTTTTTTTTGGTATATTGAGGACACTTAAAATAAGGTACTCATTACTAACTGAAAAGAATATTGGAGAGAAAACTGCTACTAAGAGCCACTGCAGACGGTGGACTGATTAATTCAGTGAATCACCCAAGGAAGCAGGCGTTCTGCCAGTGCTGGCCGTGGGCTCCATGCCACCCTCTGCTCTGATAGGGATGCCAGCCCTCCCAGGTCTGCTGACAGATCACTGAGGAGAGGAGAGGAATGGGTGGGGTGAGATGGAGCAGATCTGAGGGATGCAGTACCCATAGCATGTGAATTCCTAAACTGCCTCCTTTCTTGCCTGTGTCACTAGCTTCCAGGGGATTTCAGTCCAGTACATTTATCTCCTGTGTGACAATCCCAGGCCCTGAAGTCCCTAATTTATAGACCAAGGGTCATCAACCATTCAGAGGAGACATAGCAAGTCTTTATCTATTGTGTCCCTCAGGAGCAAACAGAACAGGGTGGAGCAGGTCATGAACTGGGTGTGATAAGCCCGGAAGCCTTTCAGCAGATGTTGGGTGGGGTCATCTCAGTACGACACACCCTCCCCAATTCTCTAGTTTCAAGCCACAGAATTTGCAGATGGCTGGGAGGAGGCGGAAAAGAGGGATTGCTAGGCAAAGTTGTTTCGAAAGCCATTTTTGGTGCTGGCTGTGTAAACTCCTATTCCACACACAAAGTCACATGTATAACATATGTAAACCATCCATCCATCCATCCATCCATCCATCAACTAATCTATTCATTTATCCTACACATATTGATTGGGCACTTGCTATGTCCCAGGCACCCAGCTGGGTACTGAAGATATTATAGGACTGGCCCCTACCTGCAGAACTTGTCTTCGATTCAGCAATGTGAAGCAATGCTCTAAATAAAACACTTAGGAAATTTATAATTTTACATGATATGTCGTTTTCTTTCAAATTCCCTTTATGAGTAGTCACTACAAATGATCAGCTTAACGAATCTAGTCAACTTGAGCTCTAAATCAATGAGGGTGCCAGGAGGGCTCACCCTAATTCAGGGTCATGTCCGAGTCGCTGGAAGAGTGACCTGGATGCCCTTCTCACTGTTGTCAGAGGATACCACTCCTAACAAACAACAAACCAGCCTTATCCTCCTGGAGAACTTCACCTGCTGGAAGTTCTGTGATGAAAGGACGATGTGGCCTAACGGGAAAATTAGTGATGGGCACAAGGGCAGAGGAGGGAGTAACATGCTGATCCTGGCAGGGCCTCAAATTCTAGGAACTAGTGAACTGCTAGGTGACATATCAGAGTGTGCCGGGCAGTTTAGTAAGAGGTATCACTTGCGTAGATTAACTCAGCCTTGCTGGATCTTTGTTTGAGGCCAGAAAATGGAGCATCACCACGTACTAGAACATTTTCCCAGAGAGGACCGTGAACCTGGTTTCAGATAAGCTGTGTTCTTACTGGTGTTAACAGAGAGCAAAGCTGGATTTGCAATTCCCTATACAACACATTCCTGTGGCATTTCCAAAAACGATTCCTTGGTTTAAATATGTTCCACACAAAATATCCCCATGAGTCAGGCAGCCCTTACAATGAGGGTGGCATAAAGAACCACAAACAGACTTAATGATTCACTTCTATCAGGCAAAAACTAAGTCCCTAGGACTGCTTCAGTTTCCTGAGCTCAGCAATTCACAACTGTGCCTTGGAAAGTGAGTTCTACGTGGGGAAGACTCCATCTCCTCATCTGTGAAATGGCCATGAAAATGAGACCACAGGGAGCGTGTAGGGAATAAATGAGATGTTAGCAGAGCGCCAAGCACAGTCCCCGCCCATAGGGAGCACTCAATACATTCTAACTTGATTATTCAATTATTCTGGCCTCTGTCCTATTCCTAGCTCCCACTGCTAACTTGCTGGCTGACCTAGAGCACACTGAGTTTACCTCTCCGAGCCTCAGTTCTCTTATCTGGTCTCACAGTGGTGTTCTGAGTGTGTTCTGGAGCCCCCACAGCTTCTGTCTAATTTCCTGAGACTCCTCGGGGGAGCAAGGTGACAAGGACTGGGCCTGCAACCAATCTTCTGTTAGTTTTCTGGCACTGCACTTCTGTGTTATAGCTCACTCAAACAAAGGTTTCTGGATCCTTAAAAAAGTTTGCAAACCACTGGCGAGATCTACAACCCTTTGCGGAGCTCATATTTTTCAGAGCAGGACCTCATGGCTCATCCTCCCTGTGGACAGATATTGGTTGTAGATCAAGAGGTCACACCACGCCCTGCGGGACTCTTCCTGGACTGCCCCGCGTACGCCCCGGGCTCCCTCCACTTCAGTACTTTGCTCTCACTGTGCCCTGCTGGGATGCTACCTGTTCAACCTCCACCTTCTCCAGGATGCTTTCTTTGACCCCTGGGGTCATGGAAAACTCCTCTCCCCACCTTTAGAATGCTTCCAGCCTTTGTTTCTACCTCAGTCATATTTGTTCTTGCAGTCATTTATCAGAATGTTTTACGTCCTCTACCCGATCACAAGTGCTAGAAGGGCAGAAGCTCAGTCCTGTGGACATTTGTGAGTGTAAACAGTGGGTGCTCAATCAATGTTGATTGAAGAGATGCCTGGACAGGACCAAACAGCAGATTTTTGAACTTCTGGGTAGATTTTTATACCCTTGGACAAACTCAGGAAAAATAATTTTTTTTAATTTACCAATAAATGATTTTCCCCCGGAAAGAATAGGTTAATATAGATATTTCTAACCAAGTCAATGAATTAATAATCACAGAGCAAAGCCTATAGCATGCGTGATGTGGTAATGCAACCCTGAGAGAGTGGACGCTTCCATTTTGCTCTGATGACAGCTTCAGGAATCTGAGAGCACCAGCTGAATTCACACAGAGGGAGGGACCTAGCAGACACACTCTTTTTTTCAAGACAGAAGGACAGGTTTGAATATAGACTCCTACTTGGTCATTTTCTTAGCTGCTGGGCCTCATTTTCTTATCTGTAAACAGTCATATAATAATAGTTGTTGGAAAGAGAGAGAGTTACTTTAAAGATTCATAAGATAAAACATGATAATGCCTTGTGTCTGGCACATAGTGAGTGCTCAATACATGCTAGTTATTATTTAAAAGCAACAACAAAATCAACATAAATAACAGAAATGAATAGAGAGCTACCTGATAGTGATCAATTGCATGCAGCATGGTGATCTTTACAGGAAAACAGCGGGGGGCTGAGGGTGCTCAATGGCAGGATTTCAAACCACCAAGGATTATTTAAGCATGTGACATCCTGAGGCACAGCAGTGGCATGAGGCTCCCTAAATTTAATTTGCAGTTTCCCTGAATTTCTCTAGGTCTTACGAGGATCTGCAAAGCCCCCTGTGACCTGACCTTACTCCTATCATTGTCCTCTTCACTCAGACAGCTCCAGTCACTGTGGCTTCCCGGCAGGTCCTCTAATGTACCAAACATGTTCCCCCTGCAGGGTCTTTGCACTTGCTCTTCCTCTGCTTCATGCTGCGCCCCCAGCTATCCATGCAGCTAGATGCCCGCTTTCTTCATATCACTGGTCATAGGTCATCTCAGAGAAGGCTTCCCTCACCTCCCTCCACCATCACCCTAACCTCTGCCCTGCTTTGACTGTCTTCACATTTATCACCACCTGACATGTTATAGTTTTCTGTATTTACCTAGTTGTTGTCTGTCTCCCCCACCTTAAGTGTAGGCTCCATGACATCAGGGACTGTCGCTGCTCTGTTCATTGTGCAACCCCACCACCAACAAACAGTGCTCAACAAACAGAGGTTGAATGAAAGAATGAATGACTGTCAGCTTGGGTGACACAATGGGAGGCTACCAATGATTCTGCCATTCATTTTTTAAAAGTTCTCTATGAAACTGAGAGCTATGAAACTGTTTTCATTTGGGTTAAGTGTCTTACCCTATTAACACAGAAGCAGGAGCAGTGATTTGTACGGAAGTTGCATTAGTGGCTGGGCTGAGAGTGTCGGTATTTACAACAAAGAACTTTACAGTTGGATTCACAGCTCCTGCCTAGGAAAAAACAATCATGGAATTAGTATTGACAAAAAAATATAACATCATTGCACAAGTTTAAAGCTGCACAAAAATGTCTGCATTACCCCCATGAAATTATAACTGTCAGACACAGTTAAACAATTTAAGATAGATAAAATGAACATAATGGAGAGTCACGAAATACAACCTTTTCATGCTCAGGCAAAAAAATATATAGATTTGACATATATGTACATATGACTTGAAGACCCAAAGCACTCCTGTTTAAATAACGAACGTTCATAATTGACGTATTTCATGAAAACAAGAATAAACTTCTTAAAATCAATTCTATTATTTTGCAAATACACCCTGACTCCAGAAGACAAGAAGTCTGATGGCTGACCACTAGGAAGAATACCTTGAGTTCAGCCAAAGACACAGTCCACAAGGAAAACTAGTTTACCTGAGTCGAGAGCCAGTAATGCTAATTAGGAAGCCATCATTTCCACACCAAATTCAAGTTCACTACATTGGAGCTTTACAATCAATATTATGACAGAAATCTATGAAACCTTTTTCTATATACACATACATTTTCAATTGACAAATTAGTTAGAAATAATATGATATTTTTAGCGAGTACATTTTATGGCGTTTTTTTGGCCAGTTTCACTCATCAAAAAATAACATTCCACTGAAAATACATCTCCATATTTAGTCTCTGATTTTTTTTCTTTTAACTTCCTCTGTCTTCCTAAAATGGCAGCTCTTCATAAAGCAAATTGAGTGAGTTGGTAAAAATAAAAGTCCCTATTCCCAAATTGCTTATAGGAAAACCACTTTACTATGAGATTTTCCTATAGACAATACTGTGGCCATTATTATTATGATACCAGTGAAGAATCCTGGCTTCTTTCTAAATCCCCCTCTTTCTCAGCTTACACTGCTTAATAAAGCTCTTCAATTCTCATAAACATGCATCCCAGAGTGGGAGAACAGCCTTGAAAACCAAGACGTGACACTATTATTCCAAATGTAGGACGTGTGAAATTTACATTAGTGCCAAATCTATAATAGAATCACTAAAACTAGTCATGTATCTGTTAATTAGTAATGCAACCTGATATATAACCAAGCTTTTCAACTTCATCTAGGGCACATTCCAACTTCCACAAATGAGATGAGCTTGTGATTCAATTATAGCCTCTCTTTTCCTCCATTTAAACATTTCCATTCCCCCTACCTCTTTCAAAAGCATTTTCCCCATCTTTTTCAGCTTGTCATTCCTCAAAGTTTTTGGAGAAATTACAAAACCTTAAATCACACTCTTTCCTGGGATAATAAAAATACTTTAAAATTGCCAGATGCTGTTGACTTCAGCAAGAGTAATCACAGCAAGCTGTTGAAGAGAGACTGACAATATTTTCATTAGCAGGAAAGGATTAAATGAAACCATTCTCTTCTCATCAAATCACGGAACCACTATCTGAACAGGAGCACAGACCTTTGGGTATGGAATCTTCACAGTCCTTGGGTACTGCAGTGACTCATCAGAGTAGAAGGAGTATTCAATAAGCGGGACTTCTGTGTCATTAAATTGGGCATATGCTAAGAAAGTGCCGTTTGGAGACCACCACAGAGCAGAGTAGGAACTGAAGACTTCCTCTGAAAAAAGACATAAATTGTTCTGTTACAAGAAGTAGCTGATAAATTGGCTTTGGCATTCAAAATATTGTTCTCATTAGCTTTAGTAATTACAGTAGAGTTCAACTAATGAACCACTTTGCATTTGCTGGGCTTCCAAAATCAGAGTAATACAAATGAACAAAAATAAAATCTTCAAGGATAGATCTGGAATGTAAAAATAAGTAACCCGTTGGACCATTTTGGAATATTTTAGCACACAATATTTAATATAAGCTCTACATTTTTTTCTTTATCTTATAATCCTCTAAATTTATGCCACAAAACATACTAAAAGTAAATTTCACACAAGGGGCTGATTCTCCTTTCTAATTTTCCAACAGTCAACATGCCAGCATACTCTCCCCAACTGGGCTCAATTTGTACTGAGCCCGCAGGGTACTGGTGGGTGGTGTGTGGCTCCAGGCTATCAAACCAATATGGTGCCCAGAGTTTACTACTCTTGGCACAAACAAGGTGTGGAAAGGAGGAATTTAGAATGGCAAGGAGCTCTGTGAGACCCCTACTGAGAAACATCTCCATCGCCTAGCCTAGCAACTGAAGACTCCCTTGGATTAACACCCTGCTCTGGTGTGTATCCTGATGGGTGAGAGAAGAGGGTCAAACAGGAAGGCAAATGAAAGGAAAGGTCTTGCTTTCCAGAACACTGACAGATTCTTCCTCAAGCTCTGGCAAAGGTAGCTCCTTTTTATGTTTATTATGGGGTCTACTCATGGGACTTCTGACCTTTGGTTCTTAAAATGCCAAAACCTCTTTTACCAACCAGGAATGGAGGATTCAAGTAGACTAGATGGAGACTTCTGGTCCTTCATGAAGACTTAATCCAAACTCTCATGTTCTGCTCTGAGTGTAGAGGTAAAAGTAAAAGCATAGGAGCTTGAATCTTAGATTTAAGGAATCATCTATCCCAATTACTTTTCTGATTCTTGAGGCTTCTTTGCAAGTTTCTTCCAAATGCTTGTTTCCAATAATAATAGAGAAGTAATTGACATCTATTATCTCAGTTGATCTTCACAATAACCCACTGTGCAGATGAGCAAAGAGAGCAGGCAGGCTTAAGGAGAATACATAGTTTGCAAGGGTCACACAGCCAACAATTGATAGAATCAAGAATGAATCCAAACTTGTCTGGTTTGAGTCCATGCTTTTTATCTCTGTGCACTACTGTCCCTTCCTGCCTATTTTGGCCCCTTTAGTAACAAAAAACCTTCTACTTGGTGAGGCAGCCTGTTCCCCCTTTGACTATTTTATACCTATGTCGTTGAGTTACATTTATGTAGAAATTTAGAATTTACACAACACTTATCTAATTTAGTCTTCACAAAGTACCTGGGTGAGTCTGTTCATAGCCCATTTTACAGAGAAGGCAACTAAAGCTGAGAGAGATTGAGTGAACTGCCAGAAACAAGAACTAGGACACAGGCCTTGGGATTCCAAGTCAAGGGGGCTTCCCACTAATAACTTCTTCATATACTGAGTTGATGGCTCATTCCTTGTGGCTTCTATCCACTGGTTCTAGTCTAAGATCAAGATGCAATTACAAAAAATGAATACAATTACAGCACGGATATTCTTTTTAAAATTACTTTTCAGTAAAGGCAGCATTCTGTGTTTTGAATTAGTGGTTATTTGGAATACAGAACATATTTTTCCATATCAATGATGTATTAAAGTCATTATTATAAAACCACTTCTGGTCAAACTCAAAGACCTGAGAATAAAGGGACCATGGGTAGGGAGAAAGGAGAACGATAAAGGAAGGAAAAGATTCCCAGCCCTTCCTGATACAAAGCTGGCTGTGAGCACAGGTGTCTATGGTACCGCCTACCCCCAGACTCTCACCATCCTGTAATATCTCCTGTCCCACCACTCTGACCTTCTTTATGTACCCCCTGGACCTAGTGTCCTCCCCTGAATAGGGCACTTAATTAGCTCCATGACAATTATTTGTTAGCAACTTTGTGTCCTCTCTGGGCTGAATTCCCTGAGAGCAGCAGTTGGGTAGCCTTTGTCTCTGTGTCCCCAGTACTGGGCACAGCACCTTACAGGTGGTTGTCACTCAATGTGAATTGCACTGTTACCCACACCCCCACTGTCAACACTCCTACTTCAGGGGGGTAAGGAGTGCTCCATCTTCCAGAATTATTTCTTTCTCCATCCCTTCTCATCCTTGCTCTCACAAAAATTCTGATTATCAGCTCTGGGTTAGGTAAACTACACTCATACTCAAGAGTGAACGTCACGTATTTAATTTCAAATGAGGAGATAAAGTATTACCATTTGCAAAAAAAGAAGACACTTATTAACTAAAGTAAAGTAATAGGTAGGTGGCGGCATAGGAGGACTCTGAACTCACCTCCTCTCACGGACACAACAAATTTACAACTACCTTTGGAACAATTACCTCTGAGACTGAACTGGAAACTGGATAAAAAGAATCCCCACAAGGGACAACACTGACAGAGGTGGAAGAGACAGAAATACCTTTCTGCTAAGCCAAATCACACTCTAGCTGCACTGCTTCATAGCTGGGAGCATTCTTAAGGTTTGAAGCTTTTCCTGGAGGAGTGGAGGATTTGAGCAGGAAACCTATGCCACAATAAGCAGCCTTTGAATTCAGCACAACTGAGATGAGTGCCATAATATCTGGCTTTGCTGGATATTAAAATCAATGGGGAATATCCCCAGAAAAGCTATGGAACATAAAAGAAAAAAAAGCCTGCTCTTAAAGGACCCATGCATAGACTTACCCATTCCAGAAGCCAACACAAAATCACCAGAAAGAAAGAAAGATGCATAGACCTTTGGTAAAAGAGACTCACTTGATAGGCTCTGGGTGCATCTCAGAGAGGCAGGAGGTGGTTGGGCCCACCTCCTTAGGGACTGAGACACTGGCAGCAGCCATATTGTGACCTAGTACAGGCGTGCTGACAGACACTGGCAGACGCCATTAGATTTCTTCCCCTGGTCTGTAGGCGCAGTGGTTTGCCCTGCCCACCAGAGCAATGATTTAATGCAGCTCAGCTAAGGCAGGCAGCCCACCCTAGGGACTGGCCCCGCCCACCAGTAAGCCCTTGGGGAACCTGTAGGCCTGCATTGGTAGGGTCTGCTGGGCCTTCTGCAGCAGGGCAAGTGGGTCCACCTTGGCGGGGTGGGGTGTGCACACTGAGCAGGACTGTGTTGACGCAGTGTGTGGGCTTGTGGGCAGTGGGGCTTGTCAGCTGCAGTAGACTTGTGCCACTGGCCTTCTCAAACAGCCACACAGGGGATCTGCCCCAACTTCTGGTGCCTTAAACAATGATTGTGTGCTGCCATGCCTGGGGCCAGCCCCATCCAGCTGTTCTCCTGAGAGAGCTGACAAAAGCCTCCAGGCTAGAGGCCTACAACAATTGTGAGTCCCTGAGCCTAGAAACCAGCCATGCTGGGTGCCTGACTCACTTAACAGCAAAGCAACAGCAGCTAGGTACTATTAGACCTTGAAGCCAGCTGTGTTGGGGCTTACCCTGCCCAATAAAGTGACTAAAGTGAATGTAGCAGCCACATGCAGCTGAGCTTTACAACCAGCCAGCCCAGGGTTCAGCTTAGCTTACCCATGCACCCACAGTAAGAGCAACCCTGCCACAACAGAAGGTCCCACATAGCCCACATGGGGGACACACCTGGAACATTTGGAACTAGTGACGAGAGCGAAGCACAATGCTGGGCCTCATAAGGCATCTCTTACATAAGGTCACATCTCCAAGATTGGGAGACCTAGCTGATCTACCTAATACATAGATATAAGCACAGAGAAGTAGACAAAATGAGGACACAAAGGAATATATTCCAAATAAGGGAACAGGACAAATGCTCATAAAAAGAACTAAACAAAATAGAGATAAACAATGTACCTTACAAAGAGTACAAACTAATAATCATAAGGATGCGCACTGATTTTGGGAGAAGAATAGATGAACACAATGAGAACTTCAACAAAGAATTGGGAAATATGAAAAAGACCAGTAAGAAGTGAAGAATACAATATTGGAAATGAAAAATTCACTAAACGAAATAAACAGCAGAGTAGATGACACAGAAGAACGGATCAGGGACCTGAATGAAAGACTAGAGGAAATCATCCAAACTGAACAGGAAAAAGAATTAAGAACAAGGACAGTCTAAAGGACCTCTAGGACAACATCAAGCATACTAACATCCATATTATAGGTGTCCCAGAAGGAGAAGAGAGAGACAAAGGGGCAGAGAACCTATTTGAAGAAATAATAGCTGAAAACTTCCCTAACCTAAAAAGAAAAAAGCAGACATTCAGGTTCAGGAAGTACAGAGAGAACCAAACAAGATGAACCCAAAAAGGCACACACCGAGACCTGCTATAATTAAAATGGCAAGAATTAAAGCTAAAGAGAGAAATCTAAAAGCTGCAAGAGAAAGTGACATGTTACATACAAGGAAACCCCATAAAGTTATCAGTAGAAACCTTACAGGATAGAAGTGAGTACTGTGACATACTCAAAGTGCTGCAAGGGGAAAACCTACAGCCAAGAATACTCTACCTGGCATGTTTATCATTCAGAATGGAAAGAGAGAGAAGGAGTTTTCCAGACAAGCAAAAACTAAAGGAGTTTATCACCAATAAACCAGCCTTATAAGAAATGTTAAAAGGACTTATTTAAATGGAAAAGAAAAGACCACAAATAGGAATAAAAAGTTACCAAAGAAAAAAAATCACTGATAAAAGCAAATATACAGTAAAGGTAGCTGATCAACCACCTATAAAGCTTATATGAAGGTCAAAAAACAAAAGCATTATCATATTTCCATGATAAGAAGCTAAAGGATAGACACACAAAAAAGAGGTTAAATTTGATATTAAAAACAAAATGTAGGGGGAAGGGAGTAAAAGTCTAGGGCTTTTAGTAAGAGGTCAAACTTAAAAGACCATCAACTTAACATAGATTGTT